ATTCTTCTGAGTGTCTTCAACTCTCTGTATTCAATGATCTCTTTCGAAATGATGAATTCGACCAAAATCGATCTAATATTCAGTCGAATTTCTTTTTAACTTTTTCAAATTTCTAGGAACTTCTATGTTGAAGCAGCCTACGTCCTGTGTGGACTTCTAATTAAGCATTATCAAGTGTATAAATAATTCTATCGTTCCTTGATGTTATGCAGGTAATTTGACGCTCAACACTTGGTGTGAAGGTTCAGTTATTGGAATCAAGGCTATAGCTGGGAATTACTGGGGGGCGGGAGGTGGGTCGTTGCTGTTAATTACGAGACGGGGAATCTGCTGGGGACTTGAATGGATTAAGTGCGTTATATATATATATTCGTATATTGAATGAGTTGAGAAGGAATGAGGAATACTGGAAGGAGGGTAGAAGGTGAATGCGGAAAATGCGTATACGATTTATTGGAGGTGCCATATGGAAAGAATAGAGGGGGCAACCTATATAGGAGCCGGATTGTGTAAGTAAGTTAGAAGATAAGGCGCTAGGATAAGAAGGAAGGAGGTAAGACGGACGGATTATAATATTGTAGGACGTAAGGGTGCAGATAGTGCATTGCGTGCGGCCCAAAACTGCTTGAGATTTGCCTGCCTAATCGCGCGACTGTGCGCGAGGCGTCCATCGATCTATACACTGTGACTGCAGCTGTCTTGTGGCTCTTTCTTACGATAATTTTCCACTCTGCTGAACGGCGGAACTTAAGCATTCAGAAACTTTAGTGTACTCAATGCTTATGACAGCCCCCTTTGTTTCTGACAGCCCCCTTTGTTTCTGACAGCCCCCTTTGTTTCTGACAGCCCCCTTTGTTTCTGACAGCCCCCTTTGTTTCTGACAGCTAACGTTTGTTTCTTACAGCCACGTTTGTTTCTGACAGCCACGTTTGTTTCTGACAGCCACGTTTATTTCTGGCAGCTACGTTTGTTTCTTACAGCCACGTTTGTTTCTGACAGCCTCGTTTGTTTCTGACAGCCACGTTTGTTTCTGAAAGCCACGTTTATTTCTGGCAGCTACGTTTGTTTCTTACAGCCACGTTTGTTTCTGAAAGCCACGTTTGTTTCTGACAGCCACGTTTGTTTCTGACAGCCACGCACGTTTGTTTCTGACAGTCGCGTTTCTGTTTCAGACAAACTTTCAGTTGTGGTTGCATATTTAATTTCCGTTACAAATTTTTAAGGGTAGGTATGTCAAATGTTTTATAAAATTTAACATTGTTCTCTTGGATGTTATTCCATCAATGTAATCAAGTTCAACATCGCGACATGAACGCTAATTTAATACGCGCATCAATCATGCATGGGCAATTTATAATTACCACAAATGAATGCTGATTTGCAAACTTTATATACCGTACAGGGGCTATGAGGCAAGTGCTTGTGTTACTGCATAGGTTGTAGTGTTAAGGCATTTTGCGACTTTTATTTTGTAATAAGATTATGATTTACCTTTACCTTGGCAACACCGTTAGGAAGTTAACGTCGCGCTCAGAATTTTCTCGTTAGTCATTATTGTTCGGCTGATCCCCGCTGCAGGTTAGTTTAAGCTCTAATAGGTTCCTTTTTTATTGTCTGAATAATTGTTATATTGTATTATTATTTCTCTTCATTCATCTTCAACGACGATCACTTATTAGATTCAATCTTCAACAGAAAAGCACGTTGCCAAGGGTATTATTCTTTACACTATTTTTCCATCTTAATACTTATATTCAAAGCCCACCTTTTGTTAATTTGCCTTGCAGTAAAATCTCAGTTCCAGTCTCTTTCATTTTCATTCTTGTTTTACTGTGTGGGTGATGACTGGCACTTACCCCACAGGTTACTTGTGTTCATATTAGCTTCGTGTTTACTCATGTGTAGTTGCTGCATTCATACATAGCCTGACTTCTAATGCCCAGTGCTCATTACGGATGCTCTGTGTGGGAGTGACTGAATTTATCGGGTATTTCCTGTTGATATTAAACCTACAAATAAACAGCGGCGGCTGTGGTTGACTCCTGTGCTATTAGACAGTACGAATTGCAAGCCTTGAATCAATACGGATTAAGTGTGGGTTAATTTATCCCACAGTAAATGATGTTGCTAGCATAGTTTTCATAAATTTCTATCCTTTAAGCTGATCCAAAAAAATTCTCCCCATTATTTTGGAATTAAATAGAAATATTTTGTTAATGGCTCACGATGCTGGGTCGTCCTTAATTATTGCCCCTATTGGATAAATGTCGTCAATTGAGTAAAGCAATTCTATTTATTCAAATTTAGATTTTCAGTTGATTGTTGAACCGTTCAAAGAAGGTTATATTGACATATTATATAGGCTGTAATCATTTCAGTAACATACCTTGAAGTATTAGATTAACATGCATGCAACATTGGATGACATGAACATATCCAAACCGCTTTTACTTACGCATATCGGCCGCTGATTTAATATCGAGCGTTTGCTGTTGCAATTGTACATATACATTCAAGTTCGTCATATATTCAATGACGTTATCTTTCATGTTTGAGCATAAAAATGTCGTAAGGCGAATGTTTAATCGGAAATTTATCCGACATTTTATTGCCAGATTCGAGCGTGTTGAATATATTTCAATTTACTGCAATTTGGTTTTGAAGCTCATGAGTAATTTTGTTGGTATATAATAAGAGAGTGTGCAGACGGGCAATTCAATTAATGAGCGTCAAGAAACTGATTGCCATTAAGATGAGCTATTAATACCATTATAGCTACCTAGCTATTAATTTACTTGCATATCAGTTCACTTGTCACAGCTTTACGCTCATGCATGGAGACCATATTAGCTGTCTGCTCTGGCCTCTGCTATTGTGTCCACAATAATTTATTGTTGACATATCTGCTAATATTGAGTTTAAAAGAGGTTATTACGTGTTGTCAACGTCATTAGTTGTCTTTATAACGATTGAAAGTTTTGCTGTAAACACAGGGTTCAAGTTTTGTGTAGGGATTTTTACTATGCAGGTTGGACAAAAACTTGACGGAGCGTAAGCTTCTTTTCCGACAACTGCCAGAGAAATGCATATATTGTCCTTTCTTCTGCCGCATTTATTTGATCATCATTTGATTTATTTTATCAGTAAATAAGTTTTTTATGGTAAATCTACAAATAATTTCCCTTTAATTGGGAAATTATAGGTTATCCGCCCAGCAATAATATAGGCATAAAATCCGTACTAAACTTTCCTGTTCATGACACGTAATAAAAATCCTCCTTCTCTGGAGGAGCTAACGTACGTGCAGCATTGATTTGACGGTATTGCTGCAGCTAATGCTACTTCTAATACTCTGCTAATGTCGCTAACGCTGCTGTTAATGTTACTGCTTCTACCTTTATTGCTGCTCTTCAAATGATCTTCGTACTTCTACTGAATCTGATTCAATACTCATGATTTTAATGCTGCTACCATTACTGATTACTAGGTAGCAGCTACTAAAACTTGTGATGTAAATTGATAAAACGCTATCAATTTTGACGATGCTGCTACTGGTTATGTAATTATTGCTGGTGCTGCTGCGGCTGCCTATAAAAACAGCTATAGCAATAAAAGCAACATCAATATCAACAGCATTAACATGTATATATTTTAATGCTGTTGATATTAACAAGAACTATAACAGCAACAGCTCGTGTTGTTGTCACTGTTGCCGTTGTTGAGTAGACCTAATGAGGCGCTAGGCGCATTGATCTTCTGAGTGCGCAGCCTGCGTAAGCCGACGGCCTTTACCCACTTCGGCCTGCAGGGTCACTGTATTTATAGTGAATAAACCTATTATAGTGACTCTACCTATTATAGTGACTCTACCTATTGTAGTGACTGCCTATTATAGTGACTCAACAAATAGTCTTCCTATCACTTGAAAGTGCTGCGAATGAAACAAACCTACACAACATTCTAAGTTAGGATTGCTGAAGTGTATCCGTCACAGCATTTATGTTTATTTAATTTGTAGTTTTGTGGATGCCACCACTACAACATAATATACTTCAACTTTTATTTCTGCACGTTTTAAAGTAGATTCACGACTGAGTGAGTATCTTGCGTGATTGTACTGCGTAAGCATGGCTCATTAATTAATGTTATGTGATTTTACCTATGCCGCTCGTAAATGGCAGTCATGCTTAAAGGAAATGGCTGTCATACTTGAACTAATAACCGTTAAGCGTAAGCAAAAAGCACTCGTGCTTAGGCAAATAAGTCATGCCTAAGCAAATTGTGGTCATACTTGAACTAATAACCGTAAGCTAAGCAAAAAGCACTCGTGCTAAGGCAAATAAGTCATGCCTAAGCAAATTGTGGTAATACCTGAACTAATAACCGTAAGCTAAGCAAAAAGCACTCGTGCTAAGGCAAATAAGTCATGTCTCAGCAAATAGCATTATGCCCATGGCATGTTGTCCTGACCTGCGCTAAGTAGGCCGGTAATCGTTAAGTTGATACAAGCGGCGCTTGCGACAGATCGTTGCGTGGCCTGCTTACAGCACAGCGGCTCTTGCTTGCCTCCTGATCCTGGGTTGCGTCTGATGGGTGAGGTGGCTGGTGGCTTGTGGATGATGGGTGGTGGCTGATGGGTGAGGTGGCTGGTGGCTTGTGGGTTGAGGCTGATGGGAGATGGCTGATGGATAGTGTATTGAGTGGCTACTGAGGTGGCTGATGGCTTGCGAGTTGAGGCTGACCGGAGGTGGCTGATGGGTGGTGTATTGAGGGACTAATGAGGTGGCTGGTGGCTTGTGGGTTGAGGCTGATGTGTCTTGATTGCCGTGATGGTGACTGAGTTTGGTAATGGGTAGCTCATTGTCATTTACAACGTTTATTATGTCTGCGCATTCACGTCTAATTCTTGAACATATTCCGTTGTTCATAAAGTTTAATCCATTTACGAGTGTTACTCTCATTTGTATAACTCTTCACTCATTTTTTAATGGGCAGAGTTATGCTATTTTCAGAGTTACGTAACTATAGCAAAGCTTAAAACAATTCGCTAGTGTCAACTCTGAAGCTACAGTTCAGCAATGGGTTGCTGCGGAGGAGGCCGCAAGTGGCACCATAACCAGCGGTACTCCACACTACGCAAGCAGTGCATCAAGAGCGGTACGTGCATTACTTATATAGTGTTTTTTGTGTCTGATATAATTATAAAAAAGGAATAAAATTTTAAAAATTGTATTTAATTAATTTATTTGATTTTATTTCTATATAATCAACGTGTGTTTAACGGGTAATTTCAGGACTCATTCAGGGATTTTATTGCCTCATTCATATTCACACATGAATGAACTTACACTCGAAAAATGAAGGGATCATATTGTCCAAATATTGACACTTGCTGCACGTAGCTCTGACACTCCAGTAAGCCCATGGTTGAACTAGTATAAGGTTGACCCTTGACAAGCTCATTTTTGAGAATGCAGTTCATTGTTCGCCTGTGACGTCACTGAGAGATACAATAATTATTCATCGAGATAAAATAATTATTCTTCAAACCACGACATTCCAGGTTAGGAAGAATTGTACTTGAATAACTAAAGGCTAAAGCACGAGAGCGATTATGTAATTTTTCATTACCGGAGCTCTTATTCTGCATGGATTTTAATGCAAATTAAGCCTTAATATTCAGTCAGCTGAGCAAATTGTAGAATGTTGTATGTTAAGCTATGTTATGCTATGCAATGTTGTATGTTAATTCTATAACTATACGTTTTATTTAGTGTCCTTGTTAATTTAAATAATTTTCATCTGAAACGCTGCGAGTCTGTATGTGTGGTCTTTCACACAGAAAAAAAATCAATAATTACGATTACACAAGTTTGCTTCAACGGATCTAAAAATTCTAAAATATTTTTTGGATCGCATATTTTATATTCTAGTGTTCAATCTGCATTATATTGTGCGGAGAATATTTATCTCGAATGTCATCTATTATAGGTATTTTTAAACCAGAATTTCGATTTAAGATCTTATTAATGAATTTTAATGTATAATATAATCGAAAATGTAAATTTAGTGGAGAGAAAGCTGTTGGTCGTAATTACTGGTGACTTGTGATACATCATATTTAATAATTTACGTTGGTTTAGTTCTCTAAGTCAGACTAACAAACTCCATCTGTATTTATAGCAGAGCATGCGACAAAGTTTAGCTGGGTATTCCCACGTAATTCTATTTTCGTTTTTTATTTATGTCGTTTTCAGGTGTAACTATTAAACAGTGCTTGTACTTTATTTTTAGTTAAGATGAGTATGTTGAGAAATTATAGTTGATGAAGTAAATTCCGGTATTATTTAAAATTACAATATTATAAAGAGTACAGCATCAGCGCCTGTTGGTAGGTCCAGAATGATTGTCATCGCTGTTGTTACATTTAACCGAAATAGTAAAATGTATTATGATTTGTTTGAAATGTTAGTATTGATACTATTTACAAATATTTTCAGATAATAAAAGTAGAATATATACATAATTAAGATATTTTAAAAACAATTTTCAGTCATTTTTCATTTAATTACTGAATTAATTTTGGAAGAGTTTAATTCACATTTAACTCTTCCATTTAGTGCAAAATGAAAATCATTGTTTATACCAGCACTGAATAAAATCAATGGGCCATATTATTCAAACAGGGTCCCACTTACTGCATTGTACCGGGAAAAACTGCGGTCACACTGGTCCATACAATTAAGGGCAAGAAGTGCATTGATATTTGGACCAAATGTCTCGGGTATTCGGGGCCCATACTTTCAAAAAAAAAAAAATGTAAGAGATCGTAAGTTCATCAGCCAATCATTGACGGCCTTTCAAGCCACTCTTTTAAAAACAGTTAAGAGATCGTAAGTTCATCAGCCAATCATTGACGGCCTTTCAAGCAAAATCCACCAATCATAGACAAGAAAATAGAGCGCAAGTATTTGCGTTAACTTGGCGATTTTTTGAAAGTATGGCCCCGGGATGTAGCCAAGATCTTTCGCACACATCGGTAACACTGATGGGATCCTATCCTATCCTAGTCCTATCATTGTTCTATAATAGGGGCCAACTAAGAATTAATATTTGTTCCCTTAAAGAAACGTTGAGTGAGGTATTACATGAGATTTGTCTTAGATTTTAAATTATTATACATACCTTCAGGTTTTGAAGCTGATCGAGGACGGCCGCATATGAAGTTCGGCCCTAAAAATTAACCCAATTATTTTCTGTATAATCAAAAGTTACAGACTTAAAGTCAATGTCGATAACTTTTATTGCTTTGTAAATGCTGGCTTCTCAGAAGTACGCACGACTATATATAACTCAGAGAAATTAGTGAGATTTGTCCAAGGAGCGACACACTCATTGTCCTCTTATGGGTCATCCTGACCCAGTTTGGCCCCGCAAAAAAGATGTACCTACAAGATTACGCCCATGAAATATTTTAAATTATTTTGTCAAAATGACCCATTCATTTATCTGAGTTTTAAGAACAAGAGCACAATAAACGGGCCCCCTATTACATAAAATGTACCTGAAATAGAAAAACTACGCAATTCATAATATGTTCGATAAAAAATTAATCACTGGGAAATTATTTAAATTCGTAGATACGCCAGTGATTGTGATAAAATGCGTTGGTAACCAAACCTTGCAAACAGTAGTCAAAAGGCGACGACACTTCAGTTTTATATAACAGGAGTCTAATATCAAAGACTTGATTTATGAATACTTACCAGAAAAGTTCTTTTACTCTGACCATCCTACCCATTGTCTTTTAACGTAAACAAATACATTTATTAGTATTGTGGGCTCAAATTTATTAGTACTATGGGCTCGAACCTCTCAGGGTTGTCTGACGTCATCTTTCCTCAGCTGAAATCGACACGGTCGTTTCATGTTTGAATTTGTTTTATTAGTCTCTTATTGTATAAACAGACTTTCGCGAGTGATGATCTCAAACAAGTTGAGCCGATATCTCAAACGTTAAAAAAAAAAGAATGTCGGATTCTCAAACAGATCTCAAACAAGGAATGTCGTGATATCGAGCAAGGAATATATAGAATAGGAGTGTCGGCACTGAAGAAATAGGCCCATGGCCTGTTGCCGATTCTTGAACTTTTCGTGACTTGATTCACAAGGGATCCGGCCTTTGGAACCCGATCTTTCCATAACTGACGATTGATTGAGATAGCTGCTGGACTTATTGCCTGGTTCGTAATTAGGTGCTAGGCATTGCCGTGAATTCAAACGGATCTTCAGAAGGGAATCGATCATCGATCTTCTAAATTCTCAATCAGTCTTGCAATAGGTTGCTTATCTATTATTTACGTCGTTGCTTTTTGGCTTTACGTGTGTGGTGTTATACTCGTGTAATTCGTTGCATTATCTTGGTATTGCGTCGCTATACTGGTCAGACAGCCATGCTATAATTGGCATTTCTGTAACCACTAGGAATGGTTATTCGCTTACTCAATTCGTTTGAAATTACTTCACCCTGAATTCTCCGTTATAATTCATGTGTAGGTATAATTACTGCTTTATTTCTGGACCCGTAACGCATCAAGAAATCTTTAATATCGTCCATCATATTTGCTTCATTTTAACCCGTCAATATGTGTTTATGACACGAGATCTAGACAGGAGGAATATTGTGTTCAAGATTCGATTGATGACTAATTTTCCAAAGAAAACATTGCTTTAATTTAAGCTTTTTGCAGAACATTTTTACGGTGTTGTCCATTCTTACTACTAAAATTCCTTCCTAGCTAACTATATGAAAATGCGTTCAACCCTTCCGTTCAGTTTTCTACCTTTAGCGATCCCTACAAGGGAAAGAAATTAAAAAAATATAATGCAACCTCTATTTATTATTGACCAAAACCGAAACAGTAAAAGAGATATTACAAAAACAAAAAGGATACAAACAATACAAACAAAATAAAAAAGATTAATTAGTTAGCACTCTCAAAAACACTCGTGAAAGGTTTACCTAAAGAATGACACTGCTTGTTGAGAAGTAAGGTATCATTTTTAGTAATTGTGTTCCTCGTAAATGAATATCTTCCTGGCGTAAAAATGCGTTCCATTGTAATGTGTCCACTGTTATGTTTTTGATTGGTCGTTACGTCTTTCTCGTCAAAAAGCCGCCGTCTGTCTGACGGTCGGATATGAAGATGATATGATGTCTGATCGTCGGATATATGATTCAGGGGCTCATTTTACCACAGCGTTTTTCAGTAGTGTTCATTTCAATACAGCGTTGTTCCGTAGAGTTCATTTTACCACAGCGTTGTTCAGTAGAATCCATTTTACCACAGCGTTGTTCAGTAGTGTTCATTTCAATACAGCGTTGTTCAGTAGAGTCCATTTTACCACAGCGTTGTTCAGTAGAGTCCATTTTACTACAGCGTTGTTCAGTAGAGTTCATTTTACCACAGCGTTGTTCAGTAGAGTCCATTTTACCACAGCGTTGTTCAGTAGAGTCCATTTTACAAGAGTTCACTTTACCACAGCGTTGTTCAGTAGAGTTTATTTCAAGGCAGCGTTGTTCAGCAAGGTCCACAGCAGCGTTGTTCAGCAAGGTCCACAGCAGCGTTGTTCAGCAAGGTCCACAGCAGCGTTGTTCAGCAAGGTCCACAGCAGCGTTGCTCCGCTACTTTGCCTTGGTTCATTCCACAGCAGCGTTGCTTAGCGCCAGACCGCTGCATTTCACGGCAGCGTTGTTCACTCGCGCTTTGTAGGTGTGTGGCAACGCATCGGCCGTACGTGATGGGCTGCGACAGAAACAATAAAAGTCTTTCAATCCAATACTCATAAATCTGTTCATCTAATATGTATAAATACTAATCCACCCTCACGAAGACCGATACATACATGTATACTCTGAAGTACCCATCCATACTCAGAATTCATCAAAATGAGCGATGATCAGAATATCGTGATGCGTGCATGGTCGGCTCTGAACTTCAGTGGCACTTGACTGTTAAATTGTTGTTCTTCATGTCTGCGTTTGAAGCCAAGTGGAATAATCTATGCTATATGTAATAAAAGAGGTTGAATGTATTAATAACAATGTTGATTGTTCTTGGTGCTAACTGTCCCCGAACCGGCTGAATTTTTTTGTCAAAAATAATTGTTTCGTAAATTAGTAGAATAGTTGTAGTGATAGTTCACTACAACTAATATTACAACTAGGTACTCACGTTCAAGTAGTCCGTGAGCTGCACACAGTTTTGGCTGGCTTTATCAAAGTTGATGTCATCGTCGCACTTGTGGCCCAGGACGTTGGCTTTGAAGCCTTCCACGTCGAATGTGCCATCCGCTGCCAGCTAAGGAGAAATTAAGTTATTATTTCAGTGAAGGATAATGAAATTAATTCAATTATGACTCATTTATGGGTGAAGACGGTTTATAATTAATTAATTATAATTAATTTCACCAGCAGCCAGCTGCTGGTGAAATTAAGTTGTCACTACATAGAACATATATTGACTTTATGGAATAATATAGGATGAAGTCCGCATGGTGTGCTCGTGTCTTCCGCCAATTCAGATATCCACGAACTTATTCGATTACTTCCATGTGAATAAACTGATTTTGTTTTTTTTCTCGTCCCAGCTAATGAAATTACGGGATCTATCAAAATTCAATTTCCAAATCGATCAGCGTTGAAATAGAGGAATGAAAGTATCATTCGTCATACACGATTATTTCAATTCGTGTTTTCTGCATGTCTGAAAGCTATATTCGATAACATCAAAAACTCGATAGAAACTTCGGCTCCCGTAAGATGTAATATACATATTTACATATTTTAAGCGATGCGACTGATGAATATTATTCAGCATTTCCATGATGGTCGCTCACGTATTTATGTATTCAGTATATCCTTGGTGATTACTCACGTATAATCATCATTTCCTTGTTGATTGCTCACCTATATTCAGTATTTTGTATTTTAATCACTGTAAGTACTCACATATCCATTCGTCTGAGCCACGCATCTGAAAAAGTTGGCTCTGATGTGGTCGCAGGAATCTATGTCGTACCAGCTCAGGGGATTGAGGAGCTTGCAGACCGGGTCTGTGTACATGAGGATTAAGGATTAATTCAATTAAGGGTTATTGGATTTGAAGGATATTTTGTAATCCCGCCGGGTCTGTGTACATGAGGAATTGAGGATTAAGGATTAATTCAATTACAGGATAGCGGATTTCCAGGATATATTGTATGTACCGTAATCCCGGAGATACGAGTAAGGACGAAAGATAAACTGTATGCACTGATCTTCGTTAAGTGCAAGATACTCAAAAAAAGTTGATTGTAATTCATGAACAACGGTTATGAAGGATATATGTTGATTGTAATGACTGATGTACGAAGTGTATGCATGATAAATGTTAATTTTAATCACGGATCTACGAAGTGTATGCAGGATAAATGTTGATTTTAATCACGGATCTACGAAGTGTATGCAGGATAAATGTTGATTTTAATCACGGATCTACGAATCATATACAGGATAAATGTTTTTTTATAATCCTGTCATTTCGGTCACGCTGATGAATGATAATCATATTTCCGATGAAGCATCTATAAATCAACAAACGATGGACCTCTGAATGCAGTTGAATGTTAGAAGTACGCATGCGTTGATGTTAGAAGTTCGCGTTTAATAATTTAACGTACATTATAAAAAATGATTCATCGTGAATGTTATTACTTACTCTTGCTCGCCTCGGCCAATTCATCTCCGTGCTGTGCAGCACATTCACGGTAGTTCATATTTTTTATTTTCATCACCGCCTGCAAGCAGTCGCTCTCCCTGTAAATTAGTTGATGCATTAATTAGAATCATCATCTAAACATAAGAAAATATTAATATTTTTAGTTTTACAATTCTTCTATTAAAAATATTTTGTCCAGAATTTTGTCTCCAATAGCTTCTAAAATATGCTTATTTTTTTACATGCTTTGATTTCGGTTAAAAAAAGTCCAGGCCAATTTTTTCATAAACTTGAAAGAAAACACGCTTACTGTGGGTTAAATTAAAAATTACTTATTGCTCCTGTTGAGCTTTTAACTGTTACAAATAATGATACGCTATTACTCCTATTGAGCTTTTAACTGTTACAAATAATGATACGCTATTACTCCTATTGAGCTTTTAACTGTTACAAATAATGATACGCTATTACTCCTATTGAGCTTTTAACTGTTGCAAATAATGATACACTTTACACGACATATTGACACTTGATCATCTTGTAAACTCACGCCTGTGCTGCGGCGATAGCGACGAGTAGAAGGAGGGCAATTTGAATCATGTTATTGATAAGTGTTCTAGAGCAGCAGGATAGTGTGTTTAGGGTAGCCGAATAGTGTGTTCTAGAGAAGCAGGATATTGTGTTCTAGAGCAGCAGGATAGTGTGTTTATAGAGTTGCAGGATAGTGTTCTAGAGCAGCAGGATAAAGTGTTCTATAGAGAAGCAGGATGAAGTGTTCTATAGAGGAGCAGGATATTGCTCTAGTTCGCTCTAGTGTCGCTGCACCTGATGTAGTGAATGTCTAGGACAGTGCGGTGCAACTTAAGTAGCACTGATGCATGTTTGATCAGCTGTGCCGAGACTCAATTATTCATTTATGAGTCATGAAGATATATTCAATTTATTGTATTCAGTCGAATCATTTGCACTCGCCAATTGTTTGCAGTTGTTTCGACCTTTGGGTTTCCATCATTTTAATCATTTAACAGGTATTCAAATCTTTCTAAATGTAGTCTATGAAACTTCACAACTGGAGAGTTTATATAGAGCTCATCTCGTTGAAACATAACGTTTGCAAAGAGGAATGTGCTAACATCATTCGGTGGCCTTGTTTAGCTATGCAAAGATCATGCAAGACAATTAATGAAACTGAATGCAATAGAACTGAATAGCCTCCATTATTTGGCTGACCATCACTCTTGATGATGTATAAGGTGGCTGATTTCTTTAGCATAGGCAGATTGTTTTCATTCTTCAATAGAACATATTGTCTATTTTATTCCTGATTACCATTAAACTACGCATGAATCACTGGGATGAATTTCGTTGCCGGGTTTGCTCTGCATACACGCGATGAATGATATGAACTTGATTGAATTGCTGCATGCATCGAGTTGTACTCCCTGAACCTCTACACATGTATGTATAGCTCTTATTATTTATTCATTAATACAGGTGTATGTATCGCTCTTTTCTCAACGTTTCATAATTTATCTTCAACTCGCACGATATTTGTCATCGCTTTTCAGCGTAAAATAATAGGCTTGCCGGCTCTTCTTGAGCCTTATCGCTATGCTTATCTTTTGGCATATTATTATGCCGTGAATGTAAGGCGTCATATCGTAAAATAATTTCGATATAAATCTTATATTCCCTCAAGATGCTGTATATTTTATATAGTTTAAATATAAGTTTTATTAAATAATGCAGATATAAATTAAAAATTGTGTGGAACCGAAAACGGACCGCTTGAAAATAAAATTAAAGTATCCTGCAGTGAATTCGGATTTTAAAACTTATATTTTCCTCCGCCTGAAAGTATCGTCTGCCCTCAGCTTGGTAGCAAGATTATCGAGGAGTTAAATAACTTCGCGAATTTCCTCCGACGAACGAAATCTGCGAACTTGATGGCCTTATATCACTGAAGGAAATATTTCTTACTGCAATTTCCTGATCGTTGCGATAACCTGCTCAAAACTCGAATTAATTGAGAACTATAAGCCAAGAGAATGCCTATAAAATTAACAGAAATTGAAAGTGAAAACATTTCAAAACAATTCTTACTGCATAAAAATTCTTACTGCATTAAATTGTGGGCTAGAATATCATGGGTGACGGTAGCGATATGCAAAAACCATTTGAGTTGTAGCTTATAAATTAGCCGAATTTACTAAGTAACAAATACTCTTTCCTGAGTTTGAGTTGGCATACCGTGTGCTCTGGCTGTTGGAACATGAGAATAATTGGAATGATTAAAATAAGAAGTATATATGAGCAATTATTTCGAACGGAAGAACTGATGGTTAAGTCAGATCTGGTGTGTAATAATATATTACAAAATTATACCGATTAAGTTTTCCAGAACTTTCCGGTTCTCAGGCTCAACAAATAGTATAGTTTATAGCGCTGATGAATCGGCCTATTTTTTTAGGCCTGTCGTCGATTCTTGTACTTTTTGTGACTTCCACAGATCTACAGATCCTTTTACTTCTCTTGAATTCCACAGATTTAAAAAAGCTGGCCTTTTGATAAGATCTTTGCAACTGCAGACGTTGGCTTAATAAAACTTGTTACTGAACTTTTATTAGTTCTGTAGGATGCTAGACAATTCAAGACTGAACAATATTGGAATAGGATCAAACAATTCTGAAAGGGAAGCTTTATTGCTGTTACCTGCCTTCTAACTGTTAATAAAAAATTGACTCCAACTTGACATAAAGTGTAATTTGTCTCAACTTGTATTTTCCATGTACTGAACTGATGATGGAGCTGGTTGCCGAAATGTTTTCGAGTTAGAATAAGACGAATTTTCTTAGATTTTAGTGTTTTAAAGTTAAACACTGCTCGTTATTATGGACTGTGGAGAAAATATCGATCTATAATGTATCATTTATTGATATTATTGAAGTTCAATGCTGAAAACGTGTACGTATTACTTGACTGGAATGTGTTTTAATTTTCATATTAGCAGTAGGATATGCAAAAGTATATTATTATGTATATTGTATTTTAAATTTTATTTGTTTATTAGTATTTTTTAGTATTAGCATACTCATATATATGCATAAGTTATTACAGTAGTAAAACTAAATCTGGAAAATAAATAAATTATATTATTTGCAGGCGAGAAGTTCTCAGACCCCAAGTTCCCTCCCCACGATTCCTCCCTCTACTTCTCCAAACCTCCACCTGGAGTCGTCGTCTGGAAGCGCCCTCATGTGAGAATTGCGCCATGTTTATTACTTAATTTAGTAACTAACAATAATTTTTGCAGCTTTAATGCTAATATAAAATAAATCGTTACGAGGAAAAGTTGTTACAGTGATCTTTGAGGTGTGGCTTCGCCAATAGCCACTCGTTAATATTATTGGCTACTGGCATGGGCTGGATATTCTCTATAATGGCATTATACATTAATACTCAATAGCACCTAAAATAATGACACAATTATCATCGTACCTAATTTTGCATTTTAAAATAATTAAGTTGATCACTCGATTACAGTGAGAATTTTTTTCCTACGATGGGATAAAGATTTATTTTGTGCTTAGAAATATCATTATCCCCAAACTATTATATCGGAAAAAATGTTCTTACTTTAAATAATGAGTAACAAAACGGAAAATACTTACGAAAATATCACCATCATCACCCATAACCTGGCGGACGAATTATGGTCTAGAGTTTGTTCACTATTTCGTCACACTCAATTTAACAAAGTCTTAACTTCATTATGTATAATATCTAGACTATACAATCACTTATTATAATACCGTAAAATGGGGTAACTTTGACCACTTTTTTTTCAAAATGATGCTATTTTTTCCTAGATAAGTTAAACTTAAATTGAAACATGCAAAATACAGGTCTATACTCTAGCTTTACTCACCATAAATTGCTGACTCCTGCCTCTCATAGTTTTGATGTAATTTAAAAAAAAGCGATGGTCTTTGTTACCCCAGCTCTTGGGGTTTCTTTGACCGGGTGGTAAAATCAATTTTATTTTTTAGTAAAATAATTCCAAATAACTCCAGGTTGTGGTGCATTGTAGTAGAACTCTTCTAGTTACATATACAAAAGACAGATTTTAGGAAAGTGTCATAGTTTGCAAATGGGGGGCGCCGCCCCCAAATGGGCAAAGTGTGACCACCTAATGGCAGCCGTGACGGAATAACATAGACCGGTTTGGAAATTAAGTTAAAATAACCATATATAAACTCTGTAGAGTCTGAAACATAAAGAAAAAACATTAATAGGTATATCAAACATAAAATATGTTATATAGGTACCTATGTTAATTTTAACTTAATTTCCAAGCCGGTCAATGTTACCCCGTCACGGCTGCCATTAGGTGATCAAAGTTACCCCATTGGGGGGCGGCGCCCCCCATTTGCAAACTATGACACTTTTCTAAAATTTGTCTTTTGCATATGTAACTAGAAGAGTTCTACTACAATGCATCAAAACCTGGAGTTATTTTACCAAAAAATAAAAAAAATTTTACCTGCTATTAATTTATCCCATATTATTTTATCCATTATTTGAAACAACTGAATTATTTTTTACCCTGCATCAATTTATCCCATATTATTTTCCCCAATATTTGACACAACTGAATTATTCACGAATGTTTCTACCGTCTCAGGAGATCGTGGATACGCCGCGTCTGTTCATTGAAGGCGCGAGCTCGAGCGACGTTACGCAAGGACAGCTCGGCAACTGCTGGTTTGTGGCGGCCTGTGCCACACTGGCCGGCGTCAGGGAGCTGTGGCATAAGGTGAGCCACACTGGCCGGCGTCAGGGAGCTGTGGCAAAAGGTGAGCCACACTGGCCGGCGTCAGGGAGCTGTGGCACAAAGTGAGCCACACTGGCCGGCGTCAGGGAGCTGTGGCATAAGGTGGGTGTGGCGGCCTGTGCCACACTGGCCGGCGTCAGGGAGCTGTGGCAAAACAACATTCCATACATTAACAACATTCCATACATCAATAGTAACACTACATACATTAATAACATTCCATACATTAACAACATTCCATACATTAACAACATTCCATACATCAATAGTAACACTACATACATTAATAACATTCCATACATTAACAGCATTCCATACATTACAAACAAGATATCCTAGATAAAATACCGTCTATACATTCAAGATAATACATGTTACTGATGTACTAGTGGTAACTTGAACGACATTTCATGCATTACAAACAAGGTATTCTGAACAGAATGATATGAAATTGAATATTATAGATGATATCACAAGAACACGAAGATATTCTAGATAATACATGTTCAACACACTACACATAACTTACCCCCCTGGGCGCCCCCTGTGTAGGGAGGTAACCTAAGCGACGCGCTGGTAGACCTGACGGGGGGCGTTCGGCGACATTACATACGCGATATTCTAAACAAAACACCGTCTATACATTCTAAATAATACATGTTCAAGACATTATACATAACATGCCCCTCGATGCCCCCTGTGTAGGGAGGTAACCTAAGCGACGCGCTGGTGGACCTGACGGGGGGCGTGTCAGCGCACCTGGACCTCACGCTGGGGGGCTACACGGAGGACCTGGAGAAGCGCAAGACGCTCTTCAAGATGATGAGGACTGAGATGGACGAGCGGGCCCTTATGTGCTGTGCTATTTCTGTGAGTTACGTTACTAGTTACTTTACTAGTTACTTCACTGTACACTTCATTATTTACTTCATTATTAACTTTACTATTTACTGCACTATTTACTACACTATTTATTTCACTGTTTACTTTACTGTTTACTTCACTATTTCCTTCAATATTTACTTTACTGTTTACTTCACTATTTACTTTACTATTTATGTCACTATTTACTTTACTATTTATTTACTTTACTATTTAATTCACTGTTTACTTTACTATTTACTTCACTATCTACTTCAATATTTACTTCACTCTTTACGCCACTATATATAGTCACTACTTACTTCACTGTTTATTTTACTATTTACTTCACTATTTAGATGTAACTTTTCTAGTCCGGGAGTGACTTCACTATTTCGTGACTAAATTAAAAACTTCGTGTGTTTGTGCCTAGTTCACTAGATTCCCTGGCTTATGATAATTATTTTCGGATTAGAAGTTTGTTATTATATTGTTGAGAAGAAAAGCTGGATGATTTATTGCGAGTATATTATTAATTCGGTGTTTCAACATTCGAACAATTCTTTATTGGATCATCTTTGTTATGATAATGATTTTAACGATGGCTTATTTGCTAGCTGAGAAGTTGAATGAGTTTGACATCTCCGTGAATCCCTACATTATTTTCTGTATTTGTGCATTATGGATTATTAATTAATTATAGATCGTGCAGTGATCAAGTTATGTCGTGAAAGAAACTGGATTTTTAATTAAAGTCCATATCAGATTTTCCAGTTTTTTATGATCAAGCATAAAAAACTTCTGTGTTTAAAAAACATTTATTAATTATTAAAGTTCATGTTGTTGAGATTCAAAAGCTCTATTTGCAATGTACTTCTAACGTCTAGTAATCTATTACTGCATCAAATATAAACTACATGTTGAAACTAAAGTCATCATCAGACTGCACTCTTCATTCCAATATCACGCCTCATTATCACTCAACTAAGATTACTTTCAACTAAAGCGATCAAGCAGATAATTTTCTATAAATGTTACCATTAATAGCAGATAATTTTCTATAAATGTTACCATTAATAAAATTTAATCTCAGCGTAAGTAAAGTATAGGGGAATTCTGGAGTTATTGTGAAGCATAAACAACAGGCAAATGGTGATATAGTGACTGGGTTTTCTTGGCTCGTCTTAAGTCATGCGCTCAGTTTTTTTTTTTTTTTGTTTTTAGTTCACACTCATTTTGGATTTGTTCTGCATTATGATTATGCAGAATGATTAAAATGATTTATGATTTTTTCCTGATTAAAATCCCACGTTGTGACGTTGACCATATCTTTGTTTTTTACTAAAACTGAAATTTTATTCCTCTTACGGTACTCAGAATATTTAATATTTCTACTCTGTGTTATCTTGAATAATTCGTCGAATTTATTCAAATTTTTGTTACTTTTCATCACTAGATAATAAATGATCTGGAAAATTTCTGTCCACGAGTGTATATGTTTGAACTAATAACGCTTTCATGTAAACCATTGAATTCTATACAAAATTGCTATCAATTATTATCCAACTATATGTTCGGTTGTCCCTAATTGAGTCTAATTGGGAGTTTTTACCCTTAACCGTTACCCTTACCCTAGTTGTTACTGAACAACTTTCCATAAAAAGTCGTTTATCGGAATTGGGGTAATTTTTCACCACTTAAAGTAGCTATAGTTACTCTGATTAATTCTGTACCTGAAAACTGAACGATAGTACTTCAGTATAGTACTAGACTCTTATCAAAATTTTTAGTATAATTATAGTGCGATTTCAATATACATGAATATTTACAAATACAATAATTCAGTTTCAAATATATTTCTGGACAAGAGTTCAGACAAGAGATTGTTGGTTTAGAGATGAGCTTGAACATTTTTTTCGAATTTAGCAGATTCGAGGAAAATAGGTTGCAATTATTCCTCCACTATTACAGTGTTCGAAATTAAGTGCTAGGAATGACAGTCAGTTGGCTTCATTGTTTCATTGTAATTGTTGAACTTTTTCATTGTAATTGTTGAACTCCGGTAGAAAAGTAGGCTTATATATTATATAAGCCTACTTTTAAGCCTACATATAAAATTATATTATCATTACGCTCATGATATTGAGTTTTAATTATTATATATCAAATTGATATAAATGATAGGCGATAAATTGGCTGTAATGACGTTGATGATTTGCTTTCCTTCCACCGCTACTCGGGCTAGACTGGAGAAGTGTTCAAATTGGTAAGCCTTGTGTGTTGTGTTGTGTGTGCTGCGTGTGTTGTGTGTACTGCGTGTGTGTTGTGTGCACAGCGTGTGTGTTGTGTGCACTGCGTGTGTGTTGTGTGTGCTGCATGTGTGTTGTGTGCCCAGCGTGTGTGATGTGTGCAAATCGTGTGTGCTGTGTGCTTACCGTGTGCTGTGTGCTTACCGTGTGCTGTGTGCTTAACGTGTGCTGTGTGCTTACCGTGTGCTGTGTGCTTACCGTGTGCTGTGTGCACACAGCACAGTGTGTACGTTGCACACATACGATTGTGTTGCGTATTCGTAATGTGCTTGCAATGCACTCAGCTATTGTACATCTTTGAAAATCGTTTTGCACAGAGCACTATTTATTTTTCGTTCATTTATATTTGACTTAAATTATATAATGGATGGATTAAATAGGTTATGGCGTTAATTAATAAGCAAAAAAAATCCTGTTACAACGTTGGAAACTAACTTAACCTGCAAACGCAAAAGCCACCAGCAGTTTTCCTAACGATATCCGTATCATGATTAGCATAATACCAGGAATTTAACCATAAATTACCGTAACTATAAAGTATCACTGTTCGTGTCGTCAATGAACTATGAAAATCTGAGCTGCCAATTGGTTAAGATCATGGAGCAGTGAGTTGGGGTTCGAAACCCGCAAGAAGTTGTGAAATTTTCTATCGAAGTCGGCAAGTGGTCGGGCGGTTAAGAATGAATGACATGCTAACATGACCTAAGCAGCAGCTGAAATCACTAAATTATTAAATTATTACATTATATTATACTTTATTATAGGTCGTTATTGACTCATGACATGAAGTGGACTTGTGGTAAATTGATTAGAACTAAAGCCTTTTCATATCCTCGTAATTTGTGTATATTTGTGAAGCCGGTCTAAATATAACGAAAAATATATAACAACTAATTACAAAATATATTAACGAATAATATAAAAAATTCGACTGTTGAAAGTTTGAACTGTAACACGAAATGAGTAATGTGTAGTTTTATCATCACACAACTAACGCAGTTTCACAAGTGATGTATCACCACAACTAACGCAGTGACACAAGTGATGTATCACCACAACTAACGCAGTGGCACAAGCGATGTATCACCACAACTAATGCAGTGGCACAAGATGATGAGCCTCTTCACCATCTTCAAGTGAGTGTGATGAGCCTCTTCACCATCTTCAAGTGAGTGTGATGAGCCTCTTCACCATCTTCAAGTGAGTGTGATATTATTAATATTATTCTAACAATAAACTTCATTCAGGCAGTATTATTTGATGGCCGATTAAATGCTTGGTATTAAATGCTTGGTATGGATGGCCGATTGAATGAAATCAAAGTCACGCCTGCCAGTGGATAGAGAGTTATTTTGTCCGCCCTTTCCCTTCACGCGCGTTAAAGTCTCACATTTTAGCCACGTTTCAAATGTAGCTGAATAATTTAAACATGTTCCTTATCCAAGCCTTATAACTAAGCCACGTTTAGAAGGCACCGACATGATAATTTTAAAAAATTTCTAGCTCCGTCTCATATTTTAGCCGCATTCGTAGTTTATTCACGTGATTTTCGTGCGCTTCACCGAAGTAACGGAAACTTGGATGTCCGCAGGGGGCGGCAGAAGCTGCGGATGGTGAGGCTCAAGAACCCGTGGGGCGAGAAGGAGTGGAACGGCGCCTTCAGTGACGGGTGAGTGGCTGTGGTTGGTGCATGGTGAGTGGCGGTGAGTATCGATGCGGGGTGGTGAGTAACGATGCGGGGTGGTGAGTAACGATGTGGGGTGGTGAGTGGCGATGAGTGGTGAAGAGTGGCTGCAGTATGTGAAACATATGACATGGGTGGTGGTGAGTGGTGGCGGTGAGCTGTCGTGAGAAACGATAGGTGGCAGTGAGTAACGGTGGTTGGTGACGTGTGATGTGACGAGCTAATAGTGGTTAATGGTTAAGTGTGATGTGGCTAATGATTTGGTGAGTTGATGACGGTGGATGGTGACATGTTCAGCATGTCCTGATGAGGGATGGCATGCAAGGTACCAGGTGAATGATATTGGTGGTGACACGTGAGTGACGTTTGTTGTGAAGAAAGCAAGGTGAGAGTTTGAGTCAGTTGAGTAGTAGCAAGTAAATTAATAGTGATGATTGCATGGTGATGTGCTCACCGTGCCCATAATTTAATCATTTAATGATGCTATAATTTTTTATACTTTTTATTTCATTGTGTATTCAAAAGTTTACAATTTAGTTATAACAGTTGTTTGTTGCTGTCATGCGCCCGAACCTAGTATTTGGAACCCGAACCGTGTGGTCACCGAAACTTGAAAATGACGAAAATTTAGTAGAGAGTGTTCAAAGACGCGCAACAAGGATAATTCCGGGCTTGAAAGGCAAATCCTATGAGGAAAGATTAAAGATTATGAAGCTTCCAAGCCTCAGTTGTCGACGTCTGCGTGGGGACCTCATTGAAGTACAGTATACAAGTATACTCGTGGTTTATACAATGTCCCCGAAGGATTACTAGAATATGAAACAAGAACCAACACCAGGGGCCACGGCTATAAACTCAAAAAACTGCGTTGTAACACATCCTTGCGACAACATTTCTTCTCGCTTCGAGTCACCGACATGTGGAATTAGATCGTTACACCGACCCTGATTACATTGTTGACGCTCCGAGTTTAAACGCGTTCAAGAACATACTAGATAAGAAATATATGTTCAGACATGAAATGCCTGGCTCCATATTGAACCTGGTGAAAGTCTAGTAGCTATTTCAAACTATCGACAGTTTGGCAAAGATCTGGTAGAAGTACCTGTTTTTAGATCTCTTGTGGACAAGTCGCGAAAAGTACAAGAACCGACGACAGGCCCCATCAGGCCAACTCTTCAGCGCCGGCAGCACTATGTTATGCTATGCTAAGTTGAAGGTTCTTGTCTTTAGGGACGCGAGTCTTGCAAAACATTTTCAATCATTTGTTAACTCACTTAGTGAGTTTTTATCATCGCTGAGTAACGTTTTCTCGTCGATGTCACTGCTATCACAGCGATGCTGGTCGAGCTCTGACCAGCGTCGCTAGTGCTCGTAAATGTTCTCTGACTCGTTCGTATGTGTTCTCTGAGACTCACTCTCTGTTTCGCTGCCAAGGTTCCACCACTCGGCCAGGTATTGTCAACTACGGTGATTTGCATTGTTACGAATCACTCACCGTAGAGGATGTTGATGTCAGCATCGTTTGATTTGATGATTTTGTGTCTTTTTTACTTTAAATTTAATGATTGAATGTCGCACGATCAACAACCAGCACTTCCAGTTAACTTGCATTGTTAAACACTAGTATTGTTATTTTTAACTATTATCACTGTTATTGTTGTCCCGCACTGCTATGGTTAATTGTTTGCGATGCTACGGTTCACAGTCTGCACTGTCACGGTTGACATTTTCAGTCATCCTCACAGTCAAGGATATCCTCACAGTCCTGGTCTGAATGCACCGAAGTTAACTGTTTATTCCTTGCCTCATTACCATATTTTATCGTTAGATTGAACCGTCAATGATGCCCGTGTCACAATTACAAAAACACGGAAAATGAACATGGTCTTAGAGCATTTTAGATTAAACTCTAACTGAGGATCGGGTTACGTGACTAAGGTCGTGGAGGATAAGTAAGACACTTGTGTCTGATAACATCCCTTATGTACGGGGTGGATAGACATTACGATAAAGAGGTATAAGCTACGGCGTCGACCGTAAGGTCGGAGAACTCAACCGATACGTTACATCGCGGATCGCTTATCAACTACTGCGAGGGGCCTTACATAAGGTTGCTAGCCCTTGTATAGCCTTCAGCTTCCGCCCACCGGGTTCTTGTCTTGGTGGCAGGGTGGCCCAGTGGTTAAAGTTCAGAGTACCAAGATTGGAGCAGAGAGGCGCTGGTTCGCTCCCAGCTCTGTGCGCCAGTTTCTGGTCAGAATCAGCAAGGAGGCCGGGCGGTTAAGCACAGCAGAATTGTAGCAGTGAGTTGCGAGTTCGAGACCTCAAAATGCTGTGAATGTTCTGCGATGTTAAGAATCGGCGACAGGCCTACGGCCTAATATACGCTGAAACCGCTATTATTATTATTGTCCTCGTGGCACATATACTGTAAGGCAAGATCTCAGTGATACCGTGGACTCGATAGCTAACTAGGTCTGCTGATAAACACATGAGGACTTTTTTCCACAACCTACTCTCGGATACGCCCCCCCCCCTTTGGAGAAGGAGAAGATCGTCCTCGATCTTAATCAAAATCCAGAAAACATCTTGGTCAGAGGATGCACGCATGACTGGAGAAACTAATCTCTATACGGGGTGGTATTATGTTGAGAGTTATAACAGATTTAAGCGGATGCCGGCCGGTTAGGCCGGAGCAACAAACTGACGCGCTACATCGCGGAGCTCTTATCAGCTACTGCAGGGGGCCTTATTTAAGGTTGCTAGCCTTTATATAGCCTTCAGCTTCTGCCCACCGGGTTCTTGTCCTCGTGACACATATTCTGAAAGGAAAGGTCTTACTAACTTCGTGGACTCGATAGTAACATAATAGGTCTGCTGATAAACACATGAGGACTTGTTTCCACGACCTACTCTCGGACAACGTTTCATTAAAATGAAAGTTCAACCTCTTATCCCTTGTTCAATCCATGCTTGAACGGAAGAATCTCAGGCATCTCCTGGTCAATTTAAAGGCTAAGAAAACTGCAAGTAAATAATCTATATCATCATTGAATGGTGAAAACGCAGAGAGGTGAGAATGGAGCTGATCGCCCAAGCACTTTCAATGAGCTATGTTGAATTTTCTTGGCGATTTATTTACTTTTAAATTGTTGGTTAACTTGCGATTTAAACAAACTGATTGATATCAGTAGTCAGTACTCATTAATGACGTACTCTGCAAAAACTTCTGTTTCCGCTGCTGAAAGTACATTCACCGAAATGAGGAAGACTTTGTCCAAGTAGCAGTGCACTTTTTGCCCTTGTGTGGGTCAATCTGACCCACTTTGGCTCAACAAAAGGGTTAACCACTGCTGCGTGCGTAACTTTCGCTGCTGGTCCAGGCTGCTGCGGCAGTGGTTTGTAAGGCGGCTCTTTTGAGACGTCAGTATTGTCGACTATCGCCCTAACAAAATTCGACTAATTCCTAGGCTTCTACCAAGGGACTCAATAATATCCTGAGTGTATGAGAAGGATTAGCCGAAACCGAACCATACTGAGCTTTCAAGCTTCTTAGAGGCTGCACTTCAAGGGTGGCCGAAGCGGAAATGGAGCCGCTGATTTACATGCTCCCCGAGTCATAGGCGGCATCTGTAGCAGAAACGGGCCTTTCAATTTTCGAGAGCTTGGAGTGACATACCTCAAATTGCCTGTCAAAAGACAGGTTACGATTCTGCTTTTGTCGAGCTTATGCTGCATAGTTAATAGTATACTTTAGTACGCTCATAATATTATACTGTTCACTTTTTGTGAAGAGTAATTTAGGTTCACAAATGAGGTTGATAAGCTCAGGGTGTAATTGTTACGTGTTGACGGGCAGAGGGAGCAGTCACGGCTTCATGTTCTCTGTGTCGCAGCTGACCAGACTATGTTCCAGGTGACTGAGTGCTGAACTGCAGTGTTGAGTGCTGTAAGCTGCATTTTTGACTCTCGTTGGGCTAACTGGCGTTTTCCGAACTGACATTGAGTGCCTAGTATTGACCTGCCGCTTTAGATGCCTACTAGCAATATTTCAGGCTAACTAGAAGTGCTTATTGCTGATCTGCAGTGGTGTTCATTGACCTGCCGTTCAAGTGCTCACCAAGGAATACTTATAGTGTTGATTTACAGTAGTGCTTACTGACAAATAGTACCAACCTCCGTGAAGTGAGTGGCTGTACCTGTAGTGCGTAGATTCACTATATATAGTTTCCATAAACGAAACTCCAACTCGGTGCTTCGCTCAGTAATTAACGTGCTTACTAGTAATGCTAAGTTTTTAGCGTCCTCTGTTCCATGTGTTTATGCTGCCATAATAGTAATGCTGAGTCAGTGAGTCCTGACATTCTTCAAAACTTGTGTTCATCCCTGTTGCAATTCGGGTCAGGGAATAGAGCCAACCGCCGCCTGCTATAGGGTCGACGTAGAGACGCGACACTGCCGCAATAGAGCAGAAATGTCCGCATTAAAGGCGAAATCACCGGCCGCGTAACGACGCTAATTAACCTCGGAGCATTTACCCTGGCGGGCTCTGTCCTGCTGACGCGCAGCTCCCATCCAGCTCCTCCGACCAGAACCAGCTCAACGACCGCTCTGTCGCGGCAGTGGCAGCGCCACTTACAGTTTGAGTTAGATCGACATTTTGCTGGCAACGCGACAACAATTTAAAATTATTTTTTACTTCTCACGCTGAGATACCTGACACCTCACTCTTGACCATGGTATAGGTTAAATACTCTTTGTTTTCGAACGTTCACAATGGTTTTACATTTGCGAAATCAATTACAATCGAACAAATTTGACTATTAAGGATGTAGAAGCTTTAAATAAACTACCGGTAAGAGCTCTCACGGGATAAACGTTGACGGCAGCTCTGAGATTCGAACGCAGGCTTCTCGCGTCCCCATGCCATAGCCATGTTGACTAACCAGACACCTTACTACCCTGAGCTCTATTAACTACATATCTACAAAACGAATGACTTGCTACCGTCCAGTAAATAGAGATATGGTCACATTAGTGGTTGAACTGTGTAAAAATAATTTTTTTTAATTTATCTTACTTAGAGAAATTAATGTTTTTGCTATTCAATCGAAAAATGAACATTACTCGTATTGGAATAGGTTAAAAATTTCGTGATCAATATCGTTCATTAACGGAGGCAGATAAGCAGTGCCTCTAGTACAACTTCTCATGATTTTCGAGCAAAGGAAATACCGTTTCTTCGACCCTTCCTCAATTATTTTCCAAGTTAGTTCTCTGGTTTATAACCATTAAATAAATAATAATAATCAATAATAATAACAACAATTTGATAATAATAATTTATATCGTAATTTATTTCTCATTATTTTCATTCACTAAATCAGCCTCATTGATGAATTGAGGCGAATTTGCCATGATTAACGCAGCAGTATGAAAACGTTTTGAATATCAACTATGAAGAAGTTTACCATTGCATCGTTTTGAATAAAAAATTACTAATTTTTGAAGCTGTCCATGAGCTATTTAACTTTTAGTCGAAAGCAGGAGATTTATATCATTTAATAAGTTGAACGTAAAATCAATAACGTTTCCTTTACATTCATACAAGAAAAAAATTTCAGACTTCTCCGGAACATTGTTAAAGCATAGTTGTGTATAAACGTTTCTCTTTGCGGAAATGTTAAAACCGGAGAAGCAAATAATACACTTACGTACTTCAAAGTATTACAATATTGTCGTGGTATCCAGACCCAAAATAGCGTGTTATGTAGCATAAACTAGGTTATGGATCCCCTGCTTTTAACTCTTACCCCCACTCCTTCTTAACCTTCTCCCCTCCCTCATGTAATGTACATAAACTAGATTATGGATCCCCTGCTTTTAACTCTTACCCCCACTCCTTCTGTTAATCCCCCCCTCCCTCATGTAATGTACGGCCTGAATAACTGCTTGCATTTTCGGCACCCTGCCGCCCATCCTATGTGGCAGCGCCATAACCGCGCCGCATTCTCGGCTGTTGGAGTTTTTCTCTTTATTAGTCACGGCTCAGCGATGTTTTAGAGATAACTGCCCGGTTATTTTACGGCTCCGTCCAGCACAAGTGCTGCAGGCTCGGCTAAGCCCCGTTCAGGTACCATCTCAAAATTTAAACTGGGATGCTGCCATTAAAATTGAAGATTACTTACTCCCCTTTCCTTATTTTATAGTTCAACCCGTTGCTGCCAAAATCGGCATTTATTCGTAATTAGGACTTACGTAATTCATTCGTAATTAAAGTGACGACTACTTCCAAAAAACTATAGAATAGAACTATTTTTTGCGAAAAATAACTTTATAACGAGTATCGGAGCTGAAATGTGACACTGTGAGGAAGAAAGGAACCTTGGAAAACTGTGATAAAAATGACATTTCGTAAGGCGGAGATGAAAAATAATTTTTTAAGTTAACGTGGGATTTTCACGAACCTAAATTATTCCTGGTTTAGAAATAAGTTGGTGAAGTTCGCCTTCCATATCAAATATATTATTTCCTTGACGCCGGCATCTTAACTCCACTATTTGTACCTATTCATACACTTATAGATGAAACATTTATTTATCCCAACTAACCCTATGAATCTTACCGAACATAGCTTTTTTTTCTATTACATAGAATATTATTGATCGGTACTACGTTGTTTTGTATTTGGCGTACGCGTAGCGGTTAAACAGTTCTCCTCGTAGACTCGTAAATTATTCTATATTAGACCTACAGATTTTGAATAGAATGATTGAGACAAACTCAAATCAATATTTAAAATGTTTATAATACAGTGATTTTTTGATACTTAATCAAACCAAAATGTCAGACAGGGACTTTTTGTACTTAACCAAATCCGAAAGTTAAATTGAATAGAGTTTATTATATATGGGCTGTTTAGCGGATGTTAGTAAGTTTATTTTTCCGATGTCTCGACAATGGCTTGACTACTATTCTGAGAAAGGTGAAAACAGGAGAAAAATTCGGATTGGTAACGTCTGGATTGTGGTAATTGTTGTTTGTTAAATGAGGAATTGATTATACTAATTTCTAGACGATGTTTATCAAACGCTCCCAGGATTTCGTTCAGAAGAAGCTTAGTAAACCCCCTTCCTTTTATATCTCGTTCACCACAAAGTCGTTGTTACACACTTTACGATTCACGCTTAGAGCTCTGTTCTTTTATAACGGAAATTTTTTCGTCGGTTCACACACTTCAGCGCAGGTCGTCCGCATGCGTTACCTCCGGCGATTGCTGCCCACTGGTCGAACCTACCGCGTTATATATCTTAACAAAGCACCTCCACATACCTCATTACCTTTACCTTAAATTATGTTTTCTTATTGTGCTTGAAATGTTTTCTAAACCTCTTATGATCCGCTTCGTTCAACGTAACCTGCGTAACACCATCGTCCTCATCGACACCCATAATTCCTTTGTAACCTAACAGTCCCGATCTCAATCCCTCCATATCTTAGAGATTACTCGAACAATCTGAATAACATCTCGTATAACATCTCAATAACATCTCGAGTCCCTCGTATCTTATCCTCATTGTTACTCCCTCAATTTATCCCTAACCTGCCAGTCCCTCCCTAACCTGCCAGTCCCTCCCTAATATGCCAGTCCATCCCTAACCTGCCAGTCACTCCCTAACCTGCCAGTCCCTCCCTAATTAACCTGCCAGTCCCTCCCTAACCTACCAATCCCTCCCTAACCTGCCAGTCCCTCCCTAACCTGCCAGTTCCTCCATAACCTGCCATTCCCTCCCTAACCTGCCATTCCATCCCTAACCTGCCAGTCCCTCCCTAACCTGCCAGTCCCTTCCTAACCTGCCAGTCCATCCCTAACCTGCCAGTCCCTCCCTAACCTGCCAGTCCATCCCTTACCTACCAGTTCCTCCCTAACCTACCAGTCCATCACTTACCTACCAGTCCCTCCCTAACCTACCAGTCCCTCCCTAACCTACCAGTCCCTCCCTAACCTACCAGTCCCTCCCTAACCTACCAGTCCCTCCCTAACCTGCCAGTCCCTCCCTAATCTGCTAGTTCCTACCTAACCTACCAGTCCTTCACTTACCTACCAGTCCCTCCCTAACCTGCTAGTTCCTACCTAACCTACCAGTCCATCCCTTACCTACCAGTCCTTCCGTAACTCACCAGTCCCTCCATAACCTGCCAGTCGCTCCCTAATCTGAGGATCCCTCCTCACCCGCTCTTCGTTTCTCACCAGGTCGCCGGAGTGGGCGAAGGTGTCGAACGCCGAAAGGGAAAGCCTGGGGCTCGTCTTCGAGGACGACGGAGAGTTTTGGTGAGTGCCGTGTTGTGTGAAATGTTGTGTGGGGCTCTGTTGTCTTATGTTGTTTTGTGCGGTGCTGTGTTGCCCTGTGTTGTGTTGTGTGGTGCTGTGTTGCGTTTGTCTGTGTTGTGTTGTGTTGCGTTTTTCATTGTGTGGTTTGACGTGTGATGCCGTGTTTCCAAGAGTAGTAGCCTCAGTTATCAAGTCATCAGTAACGAAAAAAGCATTTACGACGGTTTATGCATCTTTGTACCAATCTTGAGATTGACATTTACAACAGGAATTGTATTCATCCTGTTGTATTTTCTTGCACTGGAAGAGAATTATGTTTACAGTGCAAGATAAGCCGAGAAATCAGCTGTCTTGTGTAAAGAGTGTTCTCCTTACACTCAGAATATTCATATTCGACGTCTTGATCTAACAACTTTTTACTGAAAGTAATAAGTAGTTATGGAAGATAAATGGTATTTCGGAACTGCGATGCTTTAGAATATCCTAATGAATTAGTTTGTCTCGAAAATATGACCTTTAGCCGCTGAACGCATCATGGCGAGTAGCTGATCAAAATGTAGTCTCATTTACGTCCGGGCATTGGTAGAGATCTCTTCAATCATGTGGTTCTTCAAAAGCATGACGCTATCAGAGACACTTGTTAAAAAATTGTTGCTATTTTTTCGCAGAAAAACATAATACTCATCTTATACAGGAATAATGCTTCTAATTAAATTGAAAACATTGTGGGTAAGGAACTTGTAAAAATAATTGAAACTCCACTAGCACGTATTAAGTAGTTGATATCATTCAACAATTTAGATTTTCATCAACTATTTACTTCTTCATCCATGGTTAATTTTATTTTTAATGCTTATATCATTTTCAACAGGATGACATTCGAGGATTTCTTGGAACACTTCACCGACCTCAGCATCTGCTTCCTGATCAACACGAGCGTCTTGAGTCTGAGCAAAACTTGGAACGAAAGCTCCTTCCATTCCGCCTGGACCATCGGGGTTAAGGGGCATCACTCCGACAGATCGGGGGGCTGTCTCAACCACAAAGAATCTTTCCTACGCAACCCCCAGTACAAGTGAGGAGTGTTGACCTTATAGGGGGTCCCTTTTCCTTAATTGTGACTTTGAGCACAGGGTTCATGGGGACGACAGATCGGGAGGATGCCTCAACCACAAGGAGTCTTTCCTACGCAGGAGACTCCTACACATTATAACTTTCCTACACATTAAAACTGAGGAATGATGACCTTAGGAGCATTCCTAGTTCTTAATGGAGTCTTGGAGCATGGGGTTAAGGGCCACCACTCCGACCGATCGAAAAATGTGAGAACCACATGAAGGTCAAGTGAGTTTGTTTTGCCTTAAGGCAACGCTCTTCTGATCTTCAGAAGAGCCCCACTGATTGGAAATTGTGAAATGGAACGTGTGGCGTCAAAAGAAGTTTGAAAATATTTAGCATTTGTTTCCTAAAGTGCCAGGAGCCGGGGAGTTGAATAAGGCCATCTTGCAGATGAGCGCGCCATCGTTATATTTATGTCATGACGTTGCAGGTTCGACGTGCGTGACGACAAGGAGGACGTCATCGTGCAGCTGCTGCAGAAGGACATGCGGGAGCGACGGAGTGAGGGCGTACAACAGCTCGTCATCGGCTTCCACATAATGAAGGTTACCTTGTATTTTATATATTTATTTCATTTTATTGACATTCGAGGCATGTAGCAACCATAGGCATAGGTATATTATCAACGAGTATAAACGCGGTCAAGAACAGACTAGACAAGGCTGCGCAGGAGCATATGCGTTTAGTCTTGAAATACCTAGTACCCTATGTAACAACTGAAAGTCTAGAAACTATTTCAAACTACCGTCCGTTGAAAATATTTGATCAAAAGTTCTGTCTTTTAGATCTGTGAACTATTCAAGAAAAGAACAAGAATCGGCGACAGGCCTATTCTTCAACGCTGATGATACTATACTATACTTAACATCACGAGTTAAGATGAGATCCTTTTGGGGTTGGGACATTGGTGGGTGTGATCCTGTATAGGCTTTAAAGTTTTTTTCGGCGAATTCAGGAATCGTAACATTTATTTATCGCATATCACGTAATCTCAGCAACCATTTATCCTCACAAGTTGAAGATAAGTTCAAGTTACACTTATATAATCTTCTATGTACTACGGTATCTCTTTCAACTTGAAGCAAACATCATTAACGATATTTCGACTCGTACCTTCTGTATGGTTGATGTAAACCACTTTCAAAACACCGGATCTTTCTAGTCCAGTTGAGGTTGAATTGAACCGCGAGTACGATCGTTCCATTCTAGCCACTCAGACGGTTGAAGTAAACCGCTATTGAAATGCGGAATCTTTACATCTCTTGTTCAAGTGCAAGCGAACCGCGAGTGCGATCTTTTCATTCAAATCTTTCTTATCTTTCCATCCATTAGGTGGAAGTGGACCGCTAGTACCGGGTTTTCCTATCTATCCTTCTTATTTTTTCACCTATATGGTGGAAGTGAACCGGAAATACCTGGTTCACCTTTCTTTCTTATCCTTCCACCCATAAGGTGGAAGTGAACCGCGTGCATCGGGTTCACCGTTCTTTCTTACCTTTCCACCCTTCAGGTGGAAGTGAACCGTGAGTACCGGGTTCACCGCATCCACGCGTCAGCGGCCACGTCAGACTACATCAAGACGCGCTCCATATTCCTGAGGGAGCAGCTGCCCAAAGGGCGCTACGTCGTGGTGCCCACAACCTTCAAGCCCAACGAGACCGGAGACTTCCTCCTCAGAATCTTCACCTCCCGACACTGTGATGCTACGTGAGCCTTCAAATGGAACCTATCAGGCATGCGACGTTTAATCGACGTTAAAACGTAATTAGCGCACGACCTTGAAACTTTATAAGTGCACGGCGTTGAATCTGTGTTGAAATAAACGATTGAACGTCGTTTGCCTTGCGGGTGGTTTTGTCAATTTATGGTTGCTAATTTTTTTGACAGAAAAGACATAATTTTTTTAAAAATCGCTCACGCAACTGCGACACCATGTACCTATGTGTTCAAACATTGCTTTTTGATTATGATTATTTTCTTATTTAATTTTAATATAGCTAATTATTAATAAAAGACATTAATATTTTGCATGTAAAATATTTAGTGCCACTGTAAGACCACATATGTGTTCAAACGGAGCTTCATCCCCCCCCTCCCCCCACAGGGAGCTGCTGCAGTCACAGCCCGTCATCCCGTGGTACTCCTGCGTCAGGAGACCTGTCATCGTCACCGCCGTGACCGTCAAGAGTGCCTCGCACCTCGTCGCCCAGACCGCCTTCGGAGGTGGGTGCATCAGCACGATGTTTAAGGCGCTGGTTGGGGGTGTGAACCTGTAAACTGTAAGGAGGGTGTAAACTGTAAACTGTGTGAATATATTAACTGTAAATTAATGAAAAAATATGACTCAGTAATCAACTACTGTGAGTGACAGAGCGCATCGTCGACGAAAACGTGAAGTCACGGTCAGACAGATGGACGGACATGACGAGCACAGTGGCGCCTTTTTTCCATAAATTAGAAAATACGCTAAAAATTAAAAGTGAATTCGGAATTCATGGGTACATAATTTTGCACCTGGACGCTGTTAAGTGTTTTAGGTGAGGAGGGCGGTATGGGGATCGAATTCCAGCCATTGTTAAAGTTAGCGGGACAATTACATTTTTTGTTTTATAATTTATTATACTGGTATTGTCACTTTGCCTTTGTTTAATTATACGTGTTTGGCCGATCGTTTATTAGCGTACATATATTACGTACCCATTTTATTATCTCTCAAATAATGTACTAGTTATAAAAAAAAATTTCATTCAAAATTCCGCTATAACCGGCATTCCATGATTAGTTCTGCTAATTGAAATTTATTAATTAGTTCGGCAATCGTTTAGTCGACTTTGTCTTACAAGTTTTTTGTTCAGCAGAAAACATTCAATAATTTAGATCCATGTTTTGTGTAATAATTGCATGCTTCTTCATTTATAATTGTTTTAAATTGTTTGATCTATATTTTTAATGATTTATTCATGAACTTGAACCAACGAAAACGAATTTATGTTTTGACTGTAAATGCATGTTGCTTTGCACCTTTTGATCATTATGTATTTGCATACATTAAATTGATTTGGGGCTTACAGCTGTTCAATTATTTATAATTTATTAATTTTGTTGATACACTTTTTTATTGAATTATTGAAACTGCAGCCTTTGACGTTTAAATTATGAAATAACTTTTCACGTGTAAAAATGTTTATTCCCCCTCCCCAAATTGGAATATTATTATACTTATTTTTTTAATGTGATTTGTAAGATTTATTTAACCATGAAGCTCATGACTTTTATTTGTTGCTCAGCAATTCAATAAGGAAAAAATCAATAGGCTGAATTGATTGCTGTGGCGCTTGAGAATTTCAATTGAAGGTCAGAACCTAACTTCATTCTCGCAATTATTCTTACGCGGCTCTAATTGAAGACATTCACTTCAGTATTTAGAGTAATTGTATATGAAAAGCTTCTAGGTACTCAATTAATTAGCAAGACAGTTAGAATAAATAATTTGAAGTCTAGTTGTGCTAGCACAAAGTCTGTATAAAGTCTCGCGATCCTCTAGAAATTTTCTTGTTGTTACATCATTCACGATATTCTCTTCATTCTTAATGATAACTAAAGAAACTAAAAATTTTGGAGTATGACTACATATTATTTAATATGATTTAAGGTCGTCCGAAGGAATCAAGTAATTAGCTCATGTAATTCAAGCTAACTTAAGGCCATTGCATTGGTTTTCATTTTTAATTTAAACGTTATTCAACTTAACCAACAGCATCATTCAGTCCAATTCTCCGGTGTTATTTTCAGTTCAATTATATTTTGATACGTTACTGGTTCACCATTCATCGTTCGATCTCCATCATACACTTTTCGTTGTTCGCCATTCATCCGTCGATGCTCGCCGTTCACTTGTTGTTCACCATTTGCCCGTCGTTGTTTGCTTTTCACCTCTCAGTATTCGTCATTCACCCGCCTTCGTTATTCAGCCATCATTGTTTTTTTCGACAGTTATTGTTTCATTCACCAATCATTGTTTCTCATTCACAAATCATTATTTCTCACTACCAATCATTGTATCTTACTACCAATCATTGTATCTTACTACCAATGATTGTATCTTACTGCCAATCAGTGTATATTACTACCAATCATTGTATCTTACTACCAATCATTGTTTCTTACTTCCAATCATTGTTTCTTACTTTCAATCATTGTTTCTTACTACCAATAGAATAGAATAGAATAGAAGTGTCGGCGTTGAAGACATAGGCCCATGGCCTGTTGCCGATTCTTGAACTTTTCGTGACTTGATTCACAAGGGATCCGGCCTTTGGAACCCGATCTTTCCATAACTGACGATTGATTGAGATAGCTGCTGGACTTATTGCCTGCTCCGTGATTTGCTAGGCATTTTAAGACTGAACATATGCTCCTGCATAGCTTCGTCTAGTCTGTTTTTGAAGATTTTCATACTCAGAGCTTCAACGATGCTATCAGGGAGGCTGTTCCACATGTCGGTGACTCGAAGCGAGAAGAAATGTTGTCGCATGGATGTGTTCCAACGCTGTTTTTTTAGTTTATAGCCGTGGCCCNTTTTTTGGCTCCACCAAGCTTAATTTTAGGTACATACGCATCAACTGCAGGCATAACCGTGTCCTTGAGAAGTGACCATGACTCAGCCACATTCATGTCCTTAATACATTCCGAAATATTCACTGCATTCACTGCTTCTCGGAGTTTCATTGTTTCACCATTGTTTCTCATTCACCAATCATTGTTTCTCATTCACCAACCATTGTTTCTCATTCACCAACCATTTTTTCTCATTCACCAATGAATGTTTCTCATTCACCAATCGCTGGTTTTCATTCACCAATCATTGTTTTCATTCACCAGTCACTGTCTCTCATTCATCAATCTTTGTTTTTCATTCACCAATCATTGTTCCTCTTTCACCAATCATTGTTTCTCATTCACCAATCATTGTTTCTCATTCACCAATCATTGTTTTTCATTCACCAATCATTGTTTTCTCATTCACCAACAATTGTTTTCTCATTCACCAATCATTTTTTCTCATTCACCAATCATTGTTTCGCAATCACCAATAACTGTTTCTCATTCAACAATCATTGTTTCTCATTCACCAATCATTGTTTCTCATTCACAATTCATTGTTTCTCATTAACAAATAATTGTTTTCTCATTCACGAATCATAATTTCTCATTCACCAATCATTGTTTTATCATTCACCAATCATTGTTTCTCATTCACCAACCATTGTCGCTCATTCACCAATCATTTCTCATTCACCGATCACGGTTTTCCCACTGTTGAACCTTTCACCCGCTCGTACCCCGCGCCGTGTCCCTAACAAACCCCACGTCCCCATCGGCTGCCAGAGATGAGGAACCAGGTTCAACAAGTGCGTAAAGACAGAGTCTTCCGTCAGCAAGTTAAGGGCATCAAAGTTAACGTCGAGAACGCAGACGCGGTCGCCGAACTCAAGAAGCCAGGTCTCTTGACTTTTGTTTGTTGATGCACGGTAAACTTGAAACTTTATCAACTTAGTTGCTTATTCGGGCACCAAAAATGCGTTTCACGTATACTGTTAAGGCCAGTTTTATTAGGTTGCTGGTACGAAATCACAGTTTTTCTCCACTTCAGATGCTTTAAAGAATCAAAATTAGCATTAGACACTGTAGATTTATTATGTGCACGGTACCTGAATGCTTTCTTAAGTATGTTTAAGTTGGTGAATGCCAAACTTTTATTGAACGACATTAATTTTGTCGATGCATCTCGATCAGTAGTTCTCTAGAATTTCGCTCTAACTTTCTCAAGTCTTTGCGGTAAACTAAAGTGAAGAACTTGAGTTAATTCTGTTTAGTTTCTTTACAGTTTTAGATGTTTTTTATTACATTCGTCATTGTAAATATATCCTTGTAATTCATCGAGAAATTAACATTAGAAATTTCTGTGACTTTTTTTCCTTTTGCGTAAAAAACAATATATATCCTGCTCCATTCGTGGAATTTATTATAGTCATGTCGTAATATTTTATTCTCTTTAGGATTACGGTAGTTGTATTCTTTAATAATATATATATTTTTTACAAATTAATTTCATTCGCTCTCTGTTTTATTTATTGATCATATTTATTTTTTTATGTTTTATTTTGTTAACATTTACAGGAATAGTTATTTAGTTACGTCTTCAGATAATTAAATATATTAAATAGTTGCAACATGTTGAATGTTCACCTTCCTGAAATGTTAAATAGTTTGTATTTAACATTTGCTTATTGTAAACAACATTTCTATTTTAGATATTTGTTGTTTTTGTTTAATTTAAGACACTGATGTCAATTAACAATCGAAATCTCTCACAGATCAAGATTCATCTTTTTAGTCGTTACAATAATTTCATTTTTTTACAACTACTAATTGCTTCAGTTGATATGGAGGCCATGCTATAAGGCCATTAATAATTTACTCGTTTATTATATAGTTCGTTTATTTTTTAATTCTAACTTTTAAACCGATATATCTACGCAAGCTCTTGAATTATGGTAAATAGCCCGCTCTTTGATTTTATTTTGTAAGTAGCTAAAATTTCTAAACATCTAGTAACATGACCGATTATTTTATGGTACCTCAATGGATTATGACCTAAATATTAATGAATTTCTAGTCCAAGGAGAGCTAAAATTTACATAATTTTCTGCTAAGTACTATGAAGGTGAGTCGTGATGTCGGTAATGAACCAAAACACACCCGAAGGTATGTAGATAGAAGGAATAGTTGGTTGTTAACAAGAAGGTAATTGATAGGTCAATTATTTTCAAGAAACTGGATGTTTTTGGTCCTCAGGAACTTACGTTCACAAATTGAGTAGTTCTTGGTACTTTGAAAATTATACGTTTACAAACCGCAAGATTTTTAGACGCAACGAATATATAGAAATATTATTATTATATTTTATATTATTATAAAGTTGAGGAATGTTGAAGATGTTTTCAAAGATGATCTGTTCAGGTTCCCGTAAAACTCTAGAATGTTTTTTTTTCTTAACCATGTGCAATTATGAAGCCCTGCATTAAATTTTGTGGTTTTGAGAAATTGATGAACCGGTTGAATATTTGGCCAATAATAATTACTTAACTTACTATACTGAACACGTGTTCATGTTGCGATGTTCTGACAGTTCTCTGTGTTCCCCGCAGCCTCAGCGAACATCCAAGAACATAATTCGTCCCGTGAGTGGTGTTCTGAGTGTGAACAAGTTCAACATGTTCATTAATAAAGAACTAGCACTTTTTTATCCCTACATTAAACTGAACTTTTTCTGCTTGTCAACGGCCTTTTTATTATCGGTGTTTGGTGTGCTTCTGACTTCTCCGTACGATAAATTTGTATAATTTTACTGTTCTGATCTTCTGTATACCCTGTGTGACCGTGCATCTTCCTTATCTACCATGATCTGTTAATTATTTATAAATATATTTCCTAATTAAAATCTAAATCTTTATATTTCAACAATAATGATATTCAATGATATCATTCAATATTCGTAGATATTCAATGAGCATGACTGTCGCTACTGAGTATTTTAGTCTCGAGTGTAGAAGTTTGAAACTGGAATCAGGAAAACTAGATTGTCATTGTCCTTAATTATGTTCTGGTAGCATAAGTAATATGCCCTGGCGTGCCATTGATAAACAATAATTGAAATAATCATGGATGGAAGTTAAGCCTTCATGATTAGCGCATTAAGTACATGTTATTGTCATTGTCCTTAATTATGTTCTGGTAGCATAACTGATATGCCCATTTACCGGCCTAAACTGGGTCAGGATGACCCACATCAGGGAAAAAAGTGCATCGCTGTTTGAAAGTGTTCTGCTCTCACTGTTTCCTTATATATATCATATAAACTGGAGTTCCTTTATATGTCATCTTTTTGTGCGTTGATATGAAAAATTTTTCACTATTATTTGGCGTGCGGCACAAATTAAACGGCTATTTTGGCAGTGTTAGAATTAATTTCACTATCCCTCAATTTCTTTTGAATTTTTTTCCTGTAAAACTTTATAAAAAGTATTTATTTTCAAATAATTATAATGGTAAACTTTTTCTGTCCTTTTAATAAACTATCTAATCTAAATTAAAGCTATCCAGTAAACTGTACCACTACGGGAACGAACGTATTTTGAAACTACTCAACTGCGTCAAAATCGATTATAAATACCTACATACCACACTACTGATTGCTGCAGCTGATTATACCATACCATACTGTTAATTGCTAAAACTGATTATAAATACCTTAATACCATATACTGCTAATTGCTGTAACTGATTATAATTTTATAAATACCTTGATACCATCCTGTTGATTGCTGTAACTGATTATAAATACCTTCCTACCATCCTGCTGATTGCTGTAACTGATTATAAATACCTTCCTACCATCCTGCTGATTGCTGTAACTGATTATTACCTTCCTACCATCCTGCTGATTGCTGTAACTGATTATTACCTTCATACCATCCTGCTGATTGCTAAAAGTGATTAATTGTAAACAACTTCACACATTTGCTTGACTGTTTTACAACATTTTTCGATTGTTCACAAATATGTTTAAATATTAACATACACATTTGATTGTTTACAAACATTCTTTCTTTCAAACATTCCCGATTCATTGAAAACATGCACAATTGTTTTTAAAAATGGATGGTTGCTTACAAACATGTTCGATTGTTTACGAACATGCGTTGTTGTTAACCAACATGCACGATTGTTTACAAACATGTTCGATTGGTTAATAACATGCTTAGTTGTTTACTAAAGCGCTTATTACTTATTTACTTTAATCTATCCTATTCTATCGTTTTAATTTAGTTACGTTAATACATTTTTCGTGTTTGGTGTTCGTTGTCTAGGTCATTATGTTTGTATATCATTAGTTTGACAAATTTAATTCGTGTTTTAACTGAAATTGTACAGTATTTTTCTGATAATTTATTTTATTATTGGGAATTTTTATCCTGGGTGAATTCTTGTCGTTCAGTCAGTTTTGGATGTTAATATCAACGTTGAATATTTGCAATTAGGATATTTTTCCCTTAAGTTTATAACTTATTTAGCACCAGGGATTAATAAGAATCAAAGCTTTCCTAGACGGCCGGTGACATCTTTCATTTAAATATTGAGTGAAGTTCATCTAAATGCCAAGTTTGTTATTTTGCTCAGTGCTTTTTAAAGAAATAAATCTACTATTAACCGTAAAATTATGCTTGTCATTATTTTAGAACATATTTGATACTGTCATATTACGTTGTTGCCCGGGACTTACAAATCGTGACTGCTGCAGGTGAGTCTGTTGAGCTTCCGTCGTTTCACCCACTATATGCTTATCACTGTCACTCCGCTCTAGCAGTTTAACATCTAAATTAATCTTTTTAATTAATATTTTATTTATAATAATATTTACGGTGTTACCTTACTACTTGGTAATGCCCAGTCTGCTGCATCTGGACAAGCTAGACAACTATTTTTTAAAGCTCCCAGAGTAAGGTTGTTTTTCTTAACCTGTCGTCAACCATATTGACGAGGTATTCTTTCCCATGCCTCAATGAACCCCATAGCAGAGGTTGTCTCTTCCAAGCCCTTATAAACCCCATGCTAGAGGTTGTCGTCCTTACCATGCCTTCTCCAACCCCATGGAAAACATTGTCTTTTCCTATTCCTGAAAACCAAAAGGAAGGAGCTGGCTTTTCCAAGACATGGTCCACCCAAAGAATGAGGCTGTCTCTTCCACGCTCCAAAAAAACATTTTTAGAGTTTTTTTCCAAACTATCACCAACCTCATGGAAGAGTGTTTTTTTTCTAGCACTAACCAACCATTCTAGTCATGGAAGAGTTTGAATTTATTTTAAAAATATTCCCCACTAATGGTTGCCATGTCATCCCATCCCCCACCCAGGGGAGCCGGACGCATACTGCATCATTAAGTGTGAGGGGGAGACGGTGCGCACCCCCGCGGACCGGGGGACAAGCAACCCCAAGTGGGACACGACCGCCATCTTCTACCGGGCTCGCCCCCAGGTCCCCATCGTGATCGAGGTGCGGCCGATTATGTTTTCATACTTTTTTATATTTTTAATCGCGATTCATTCCACATTATTTCCTATCTGTTCGCCACTTTTCGCGTAAAGATCGATACTGTAAGCTAAACAGTTGAAATATTTCGGTAACGTCATTGAGTCATGTTTTATTGCTAAAATTATTAAATTTAGATTATGAATGTGCCTAACAAAATTTTGGTACTGCCTTGCTTAATTGGTGCCCAAGAGTCGCTGCACTCGGTTAAAGTCATTATGGGTGTGCTTGGTCACCTAAACGAAATTAGCTTCTGATCAGAATTTATTTTCCGACTTTATCGTATCCTGCATAAGAGTATGACAAGGGTTAATCAAGCCGATTATACTGAGCTTGCAAGCTGCCCAACGGCTGCCTTAAATCTATAGCTGAAGTGGACATTAGCTGCTGATTTACGTGCTCCCCGAGTCCTAGGCGGCACTTGAGCGGTGTCTGGCCCGCATATAAATTTTCAGTTTGAATTCGCAGAAAAATTCAGCTTGAATTTTTATGTACGCCATGAATTCATGATGAGAGGTGATTTGTTTCTATAAATATAGATGTTTTAAATATACATAATAACAGACGTAAGGTAATATATCACGTGGTCCGCAGGTGTGGAACAAGAGTCTGCTGATGGACGGCTTCATGGGACGCGCCGAGCTGCTGGCGCCCGTCAACACCAACAGCGTCCAGGTCGCATCAAGTCATTTTTATTGCTCTGCATTCTGCCTCATTATGTGTTGAATAATACTGCTGAGCATCTGTTGGCGAATGATACTCCCGAGCATCTATTGATGAATGTTACTACCGTTGAATATTAATCCTGAGAAATATTTAATTATTTCTTCTTTATTCTCTAGCGAATATTTCTTCTGTTGAAAATTACTCCTGAACAATATTCATGTATTTCTTCCTCATTAGCTAGTATATTTTACTTAGAATATCCTTGGCATAATTGTCAAGGCTGTTGATTGCCATTACTCTCGCATCATAGCATTGCATTATATCACATTATTATATTATATCACATCATTATATTGCATCATTACATCATATCATTACATTATATCATTACATCATTAAATTACATAATTACATCATATTACTATATTATTGATGATTGTTGTATGCAGGTGGAGTTGCCGCTGTACGGCCGCCGCAGCGAGAAGGCTGTGCTGAAGGAGGGCGTGGTGCTAGTGCAGGTCTATTCTGACGACGACCTACAGAGCATTTAATATAATCATCCATCATCTAATTATCATTTTTCTATCATTAATTTTATCGAAGTTAGGTTGGCTTTAAGGCTAAGAAGTAAAGAACGAAAGCAGTGGGAAGTATTTCTTTGTTAATTGCTGCTTCGCCTCAATGTTTTTACGTTGGCAATTGGGAAATAGACTCGAAATTAATGTTTTTTAAGCGCGAATCTAAGATTAAATATTCATACGTGTTTCTCCATCTACGTTTTGGCAATCATTAAATTGCCAAAAATTCTAAAAAAAATTAAAAGTTAGGCGCTTTCACTTTGTTTTAAAATGCTATTAATATTTTGGATTCTTGGTTGCAATTATTAGCGCTAAAATTCGACGGTATGAGTGACTGATTGTAGTGAAGTAATCACAACTGTCAGTTATTTTGGTTATTTTATCGGTTGTAATGTAGTAAATTTTACAGCAACGCTTAACGAAACGTTTAAATTTTACAGTGATATTTATATATTATATTATCTCTATTTCTTGACGGTGCTACCGGTGTTATGGCCTCAAGTCAGTCGTTTGGTATTTTCATGATTGGTTGAAGTTTGAAATTTCTGTAGCCCCCAAGTTTAAGTTCTTTTTGTCAACAAATTCAGCTTCAGTAATAGATTTTTATCATTTTTGTGCTGCTCTCTGTTTTTTTACGTTTTCCTGCTAATGATACTCAGTACTGATACATAATTTTAAGCCTGATAATTTTCTATAAGTGGATTTTTTACATGATTGTTTAATATCATTATTTTCGGATACGTTCTGACGGGGTGAATAGGACTATTGACGGGGTGATTTGGTCCTTTTCGACATTTAACAAAAGCTTATAACTCAAAAAGTTCTTGCTTTAGAAAAATTGTGTTGATGGCTCTTGAAGTACCATGAGATAACCTACAAGTGCAATAAATAGATAGTTCTATTACTATATATGAATATTTGTATCACAAAAATTAAGCGCTGAAAATGGTCCAAGTCACCCCAAATTACCGACGATCTTTGTAATTTGATCGGATATACCTCTGCCTTGCAGTACCTCGCATGTGTTCAGAGTTGAAAAGATTGCGTTCTGGAAATCAGTATGTATTTTTACTAAATTTTTAAATCGTCACAGCTTTTTCTTGTGGTAGAATTTAAACAAAAGATTTATATTACAGTAACAATCCACAAGGAAAAGTTATTTTGTTTAATATAGTACAAGGCTTATCATGAAATGTGTATTTTAGTTTACATGTTAGGAAAATGACAACAACCATAAACACGAGCTTATTTGTTGGGATGTAAGGATCGTAATATATTTATCAAGATATTCGATCGGAATTCAGAGTCCAGGTCTCTGAACCCTATTGAAATTAGAGAGGCATTTTTGACTCTGAAAATAGTAATAAATACTATCATCGAATTAATAACGTGACGACAAGTTCCCAGGAACTAACTTCACTGTCTAATTGCTTTCGACGTAGACAACTTCTTATAACTTGTATAGGTGGCTGTTGTTTGCCTCCGTATGATTAGACAGTCAAACTCAGAAGAATAAATGAATTAGTCAAACTCAAAAGAATGAATGTGTCATGTTGTCCTAATGGTGACGCACTTCCTGTACTATAGCACTCCTACGTCCCTTTGCCTGGCCAAAGCATATCAGGATAACTCACAGGAGGGCAATAAAAATATGGCATAACATAGTTTAACATAGTTAAGAATTTTAACTATGTCTCATTGATTTCTTCAAGTTCAGGATTCATTTCAAGCACACGCTGTTAAAGAGTTCTTCCTCAGCATACAAAATTTTTTTTACATCACAACATTGCAATATGGAGTATTATTTCCACCTCATTTCATTCGTATTGGCCACTATCATCTCAGACTATAATTTTCACATCGCTGCTGCGACCAAAACCATGTTTTCTTCTCATAATATTGCAATTCCAATTATCCTGTTTTCGTTTTTAGTTGTTAACTTATCTCGCTCTATATCCTCTGTTGCTCTTCACGTATTCCGTCGATTCAGCAATCCCGTCCTCGTCTCTGTTGCTGTTCAGCAATTTCGTCTTCGTCTCTGTTGCTGTTCAGCAATTCCGTCTTCGTCTCTGTTGCTGTTCAGCAATTTCGTCTTCGTCTCTGTTGCTGTTCAGCAATTTCGTCGTCGTCTCTGTTGCTGTTCAGCAATTCCGTCTTCGTCTCTGCTGTTCAGCAATTTCGTCTTCGTCTCTGTTGCTGTTCAGCAATTCCGTCTTCGTCTCTGTTGCTGTTCAGCAATTTCGTCTTCGTCTCTGTTGCTGTTCAGCAATTCCGTCTTCGTCTCTGTTGCTGTTCAGCAATTGCGTCGTCGTCTCTGTTGCTGTTCAGCAATTCCGTCTTCGTCTCTGCTGTTCAGCAATTTCGTCTTCGTCTCTGTTGCTGTTCAGTAATTCCGTCTTCGTCTCTGTTGCTGTTCAGTAATTCCGTCTTCGTCTCTGTTGCTGTTCACTATCTCCTCCTTATCTTTATGCGATTCAAGACTGTTTCTTCTCTCGCCAGCCATAGCGCAGGTCATTTAGCGCCTCCTCATCATGAGTGTGACGAACGCGTTACTCGTAATGAGTCCCCAAGGCTTCCATGGCATTTGGTTTGGAGCTCTGGTTAACCACTGCACTATTTTAATTATAATCCCCAAACTTGTTATTAGTATAAATTTTATCTTTAAGCAGATGATGCATGTATAACATCTAATAGATCATTGGCCGATTTACAGGAGGCGATCTGGAAATCGCCAATCGCCGTGTTGATCTGATAATGAACCGGGCGGCGCGATACCCGCTTTCTTATTCACCGAAGAACTTACCGTCTCAATAATATTTTTTTTAACGTGAACGCCTGGTTTCTCTACCTCAAATATCAGGATAATTGCATTAAAAGGAGCCCAAGGCGCAGTGTGGGCCACGAGTCTTGCACTCTTTTGATGATTTGGGGTGACGAGTGCGAGCTGGTGTTGTGGTCAACGAGTTATTTTCGGTAAAGTTTTGCTATTGGGTCCTGCAAAATAACATTTAGCCTGACGAAGAGTAAATGCTGAAACGCCTGTTAGACTCTGGCGATTCTTGGACCAAGGTAGGTATGTAGAGCGGTAGAGGGAGACGTTAGTTATTAGTTATATGGTAGAAGGAGCTTTTTATATTCATTGTTATTCAGTGTAGCAGTTGCAAGATTCTACACCACTACGTGGGCCGATCAGTTACGCGAGTTGCCACTGCACTCGAGAAACATGAAATAGATTTACCGCTTTTCCATATGATCTATTTTATAAACTCTTCATACAAAAGGAATTTATTTCTCCGTCGTCTGTTAAAGAATAAAATACTATTTAGCCATGGGGATATGTTTAAGAGAAAAATTGCAAAGAGAAAACTTGTTAAATATTATCGTGTTCGTCGACTCAAGTAGTTTAGCTGACATGTGATGCACTTAATCCATGAAGTGTACGAGTAAATAATCTTTTTATTGAGTATTGGAACGACAATACTATTAAAGAGACACTTATTGTGATGTATGGAATATGTTTATCTTGCGAGCACAACAATTTGTATTGAAACACTTGCCTTGTATCCTTGTGCAATCGTCGAGCTTTGGCTTATAGGCTACAAGAAATAATGAGTAATTTTTGTATATTGTTTTAATTTATCCTTCTACTTAATGCAGGTTATGAAATTCTGAAGAAAATACCTTGATAAATTTGCGCTGCATGGCGCGGATTTCGTACGGAACTTTGAGCGCACAGAAGTGTGAAAATTAACTTATCATCGCAGAGAAATTTAATCTCGCTCTTTCATAAAAAAGTCATCTTGAGAAGCAATACTTAATTAACTATAATGAATTAAATACATGAACCCGCGTTTCATACAGTCTTAGAATATTTTTCGTATTTTGTGTGTCGCAACTTCTCACAACGAGGGCAACTCGCTACACCTGACATATCTACCAAGTGATCGGCAAAAAAATAGATTTGTCAATTTAAGAAATCGTGTCTGTGTGTTTTAGAAACCATGGGTACAAGAAACTATCAGCAAATTTCAGGACGTATGAGACGCGGATGATTGCAGTAACAAACCTTGAAGAGAACCAACAGTTTGTGTAAAAGAACTTGCTTAGGAAAAGAACTTAGTTAATAGTTTTTTATTGATTTCTAATCGAAAGTTCTTGGACATCACCACGCGGCCTTTTTATGTATTATATATAAAGTAAAGACAGGAAACTTCAAGTCGCATACTTCCTAAGGACGAACTCGGGGACTTGACTACATCTTTTCCTAGTCAACGAACTTGGATGCTCTAAGGCCAAGTATTACCTTTGATAAACATCTTGTTAGTAAATAGTGTAGGAGTAAAGTGTTAAACCACGGATAATATTTGTCTAAATACATGTATTCAAAATGTGGTATGACGTTAAGAAACTTCACTGAGAAAACTCGGTGTACTCGATTATTTATGTATTTATTTCTTTTTACTTTTTTCGAACTGATAACTATGCGCTTAACTGGGTTAGTGACAAGTTCTGGTTCTGATTGAACTTGTTTTTGCAAGAGCCGCTTAAGTAATCTTCAATATGCATTTGCTGCAACACTGTAGTAAGGGTTGGGGCAGGGTGGCCCAGTGGTTAAAGTTCATAGTACCAAGATTGTAGAAGAGGTTCGGGTTCGAACCCAGCTCCGTGCGTCAGTTTCTGGTCAGAATCGGCGAGGAGGCCGGGCGGTTAAAATTGTAGAAGTGAGTTGCGAGTTCAAGCCCGCGACAAGCTGTGGATGTTCTGCAATGTTAAGAATCGGCGACAGGCCTACGGCCTAATAAACGCTGAAACCGCTAACACAATGCCAGAAATATTTATTTGATCGGGCTCTCATCGACACTTGAAAATCTGTCCTAGTCTGGTAGGCTGAAGTAATCACGCTGCAGATCACATACCGAGAAACCATGAAGTGATATTTCATACCTTTCAAAATCATCCTTGTGTCGTTTGCAACCTCCGCGAAGCTGCAGCACATAACGTCTTTAGCAGCTATGAAGTACTGTTGCATTCTGTTCAAAATATCATCGTTTTGACATGTGTCACCGTTGCAAAGATGCAGAGCAAGTCCCACGCATTTATGAAGTGATATTGCATTCCGTTCAAAATCTTATCGTTTTGACTCATTTGGGAAGCTACGGATTCCCATGCACTTATGAAGGAAGTGCTGTTGCCTTCCGTTCAAAATATCATGGGTTTTGACACGTTTGCGCAGCTGCAGATCAATTCCTCATGTCTTATGAACTGCTATTGCGTTCCATTCAAAATATCTTGGTTTTGACAAGTTTGTGAAGCAGTAGATCAAGTCCCATAAACTTATGAAGTGCTATTGCGTTCCGTTCATAATCTTTTGGCGCCAGGTAATAGAATTAAGAATTTTGATCTACTTTTTTTATTTGGATTCTTCCATGTAAAGCTTCTTTAAATCTGAACAATAAACGAAAGCTTATTTGTAAGGGTAACACCCCTTCAATTATCAGGAACATCGAATAAAGTGCATCAGAATACTAATTACATTTAAATTTGCCGGCATTCACGTGACTGCTACGTGTTCTATATATTTACAATCACAATAGCTTCGGATCGATCATGCGTTGAGAAATTGATTATCATGCACGCGCATTTAGAGACTTTCTTAAAGTTAACTTCCTTTTCAGAGATAGCCAAAGCAATTTTCTTCTCTTATCTTGAACAGGTATCCAGCTCATGCAATCATTCACTCTCGTGATGGATTTCGATTATTTCTCTCCTTCCAGTCATGCTTAGTATTTTGGTGAAGGAAAATTAAAACTCAAAGAAGCTCATTCGACTGTATTCTCCAACTTTTTCAGACATCACTCTTATGCAGTTGTCAGTTCTAATTCCGTTACCGAAAATTTATCTCGTGACGAAAGTCGGTATTAGTCATTCATTCATACTGAAATGTTACAATTACTAAGGCAATAAATTGTATCGGTAAAATTGCTGCCACCAATTTCTAGTTCCTCTTGTTTCTTGTTACTAAGAGCGACAAAAATGTTTCATAAGAGAATGTCGGTCAAAAGAAAAAATTTTTTGCACAAACCGCAACAAAGTTCCTTCCACAAATCTTCATAAATTAGCTGGTAGCAAAGTAACGTAGCAAAGACAAATTTTCTTTTTAAGACAAATTTTCTAGCCGAGTGAAAAATGAACATAACAAATTAATACCAAATTGAACGGGAATCGAGCAAAAGTAGGTCAAATATTTCCTCTCGCGTGGCGTATTGGTTAAAAAACGGCGTTGAATTAATAAATAATATACAAACGATCAGTTTTCGCAACGAAATAAAAAAATATAACTCAGTACTCACTGCAGTGAGTGACAGAGAGCGCATTTTCTCGTCGACGAAAACATGAAGTCACGGACGCACTGACAGACGGACGGACAGACGGACATGGCGTGCACAATAGTGCATTTTTTTCATAAATGAGAAAATGCGCTAAAAACAGAGTCTCGCGAAGATACAAATCAATTCCATTACAAATTCTGTTGAAAACTCGACATTTATTCGCGATATACTCGCGCAACTTCGCTCTCAGATACAACTACCGAGACGACTGGGATCCGGGCAATTCATCCAAATTATACAGCAAATGTAATATAGGTTTGTTGTGGAGACAAAGCTCGGGATTTGGTAACCCCACCACTTCTAATGGAGCAGAATCGTGTGCCTGTGCTAGAGGCTGCAGGAATTTCAACCGAGATGAAATGGCTTCTTCTGAAGAGTTGCTTGAGCTCTCGATACAAGAGGGAGGCAGACTTTGACTTGTATGAATGGTGAAACCGCCCGGATTGTTTCCACGCGGAGATTCGATATTGCTTTCCCTCAAGCGTGATGGAGTATCAGATAAAGGCGTGTAAGAAGCAGAAGACGCCGATTCGGTTAAAACGGCTGAAGTGGCATCATTACTTATAACAGATGAAGGAATAGCCGTAGCAGTGGAAAGAATTGAAGCAGTACTATCATTGGTAGCAGTATTATCATTGGTAGCAGTAGCTCGGCAGTATTTGCGGGAGTACTGCCGCCACATCCGGAGCTGACAAAGGATATTGGTGCAGTCCGTGGCAGTAGAGAGCGTCCTCCGCATACTTTCAGCCTGAGAAGCGGAATAAACCAAGGTTAACACACGTAAAACTAATTTTTCATGGAGGTTTTGATTGTAAACCTACGAAGTAAACCCGGATGAGACGAGACGTTGATATTTCATAGGAACAAATAAGAATAAGAATAGGGCAATTAAGGCAACTGAATGGGAGAGATACAATAGAAATCGTTAAGAACTAAATAGAAGTCGAAACAAGGAATCGATCGATAGTCGTTGCACAATTTTGTTAAAATCGAGAATCGGGAGGCGACAAAAATTGGGATGTCGGCGCGACCTACGTCATTTCTTCAGCAAAAGAGAAGAAGTAATAAGCGAGCAAGTGTACAATTTAAAAAATTGGTAATTGGAAAATATGAGTGTGAATTTTTTGTCAGAGAATTCAAATTTGTTCAGTTATTTTTCGCGGTCATAATTGATTCGCAAGATGACTATTTTAGCAATCGAAGCTACAATGGACGGGATTACCGTTAAACTGCGAGGTATAACGGTACTAATATTATTATCACAACACATTTCTAGTGAATCTGCGATTAAAGCAATCTAGTGACTTTTTTACTTGTGTACGATCAAAATACGGCGAAGATGGTTGCCACCTCTTTAGAAAATACTGTGATCTTCTCCGAAAGACGGCAAAGACTTCCTTAGATATTGATTTCCTGGTGAAGTGTAAGGTTTATGGTGTTTTCCCCAAGTTCCTGAGATTTAAGCTTTACAAACGGTGCCTTCATAATTCAAATTTTTATAAATCGTGGCAGAATAAGCTTCTCTCCAGGGAATCATCCTCAAAGAGGAAGACGCTGAAATCTTATCACAACTATTATTATGTTAGTGACAGGTGGTAGTGGGAAGAGGGTAAGTCTATTAAGCATTCGAGCGGCCCTTTTGCTTCAAATACCTGGAGCCAATGGCGTAGTTTCAAAGGGCGAGTTTGTATGAGGGTAGCTTGAGGGTTGGAGGCGATGTAAGACAGGACTTCCCTCAGATCGTTCATTCCATAGAAGGCGACGTTCGAAGCAGCACCTACGAGCTCGCCGTGGGAGACTACTTCGTTATCTGCACGTAAAAACTACGTTTGGGAACTTCCTTTCAGCAGCGAAACAGGCACTAAAATTCTACTGAAATACCAAGTATGCACTGAAAAAAAAAACCGGGTGAATTTAAATTTAGAAAAAAGCCCGCATATATTGATTTAAGGCGAAAATTTTTGAGAAACAAATTATGTAGTGAGACTAATTATAATCTAATGAAGTTCTTGATTAACCCTCTACTCACTCGTGTAGAGGACGACATCAAATCCATTGCAGGTTAGCCGCTCGTCAGTGACAACTGAAGTGTTGATACCAACAGATGATGATGTGTTGATACCAACAGCTGACGCGTTGATATCAACAGCTGGACAGCGAGGCAGCCGCAACAAAGCCTGCCAGTTACTACGACCCATCGAGCTGTGAACAAAAACACGAGGTCACATCGTGTTAATGGCAGGACATGAAATGAAACACGCCAATATGAGTGACAGCGCCAGTGATGATAACTAGAGTACTTTGCGATACATCCTAATTCACATCTGGGTTCACGGTAGCGGCATCATTCATTCATGCACAGGCATGAAAATACGTTCAAGATCTTCCAAACCGAGACATTTTTTCCTCGCTCACCACTGCATCATTCAGCACAATATATAATGTACATATGAACATGCGCAATGTCAGACGATTTGAGTCTAAATACAAAAAGCAGAAATCCAAATACCTCAAACATAACCACCGTGGAAGGTAATGCATGGTAGAATGCTCTATCTGTTAATACATTGTTGCGAGATTCAGAAGACCAAACCTCTCATTGAAGGGAAGAGCGTCGGTGAGAGGGGCGGCAGGCAGGCTGTAAGTCTCCAGGAGTTCATAGCACTCGAGGAGCTCGGACAGAGCACCACACCGTACACCATACACAGAGCGCCCCTCCACACACACGCAGCACAGTTCCTGTGGCATAGAGTGTTATTTTAGCTTCAACTTACACAATACAGTGAGTATTTAAGCTTAAACTTACACAATACAGAGCGTATTATTTTAGCTTCAACCTACACAATACAGAGCGTATTAGTTTAGCTTCAACCTACACAATACAGAGCGTATTATTTTAGCTTCAACCTACACAATACAGAGCGTATTATTTTAGCTTCAACCTACACAATACAGAGCGTATTAGTTTAGCTTCAACCTACACATTACAGAGCTTTGCCCTCAAATTTTACACACACATGCCGCACCGTTCCTGTAGTATTTTGCTATAGGTCAGCTACACCGCACACCGTACAGGGCTTCACCCTAAGAATTTCATTTGCACGAAGACAAAATTCCAGTGGCATAACGAATTATTTTACATTCACTGTACACTAAACAAAGCATCACCCTCATACTCCACTTCTGTCGTATAATGGATAGATCCTTCACCGCTCACCATACAAGGCAATAAATTAAAAATCAAAACACACACGGCACAGTCCCTGTGGTATTCTTGACACAGCACAAGAAATGGTCTGCAAAATTTGCACCTTTAGTTACAATGGAGAATATCTTTATACCACTGAAGGCCCTTGTGCATCTAACGCATTCATTTCGGTCACACCACAATGTTGCATTATTCATCCGCTTTATTATACCAGTATTTAGCATTATTCATTCATTTGCATATTACCAGTATAATGTATTATTAGTTAATTTATATTATTGCAGTATATTGTCTCCTGACGACATTAAGACCAGAATTATCCACGATGTCAATCAAACAAACATGCACAGAAATTTCTTTCGCGATATGTTGACAAAAATGAAGGAACATCTTGAATTTTCACGCAGGATTTCGCCTAAAACGTAGGAAAGATCAGGGTTTCGTAAATGATATATGAAAATTAGGGAAAATTATTTCATTGCAGGTTGTATACTTCAAGCGTGACGCGGCCTAACAATATTACAGGCACGTATTTCATTTGTTCTCAATTTCGTTATTTTCTGTTTTCACTTAAATGATACTTTTGCCAAATCGGTGGAAACAGGAAGGAATCGACATCATTGTGGTCATAATTTTAGCGTGTTAATTAAAAAGAATTCTAAACGTTTCTTAGGAGTAAACTTTAGACGCCTACAACGCTATGCTTGTCAATTGCCGTCTATTTTCAATTTGACCTTAAGTTTCTTAAGTAAGACAGGAGGTGAATTAATAATTCATTCAGATTAGAAAAAATGCATTAAATAAACAAATAAACTTACTTTATTGCTGGCGCTCTTAACAGTATTACTTGTAAAATTTTTTAGCATATCTTGTTTTGCCACGCTGTCCAATTCCCGCGGAGAAATCGACGGGTAGTAAATCTTGCCTATCACTCGAAATTCACTCGATTTTGAACTGTAGGAGGTCCCAATAAAAAATATTCGTTCAAATAATCGATAGAAAATACATTTATTTTTTCTATTTACTGATGTTGCACAGGTTAAGCACACGATATATAATGGTTTAAATTAATACAAGTACTTTGAAATTTAGACCGGTGGAAACGCTTGTCATAGAACAGTTTAAATCAATACAAGCACCTTGAACTCTACTCTTGGCAGTCTGAAGTGCTTGTCATAAAACAATTTAAATCAATACAAGCACCTTGAACTCTTGGCAGGTTGGAGGGCTCGTTTAATGTCGCCAAGAGTGACGTGCGTGACAAGGCAGCGATCCTGCCACGGCCTGAGGGAGGGAGCGACGAGCCTCTTCCCTTGCATGCCGCTCTCCTCGTCTAAATTTGGCTGGTTTTTAGTTGTTTTGGGGCATGGGAGGCTCTTGCTACCACCGTGAACCGGAGACAAAAACCTGCAGAGCAAACGAATTAATCAGGTTTGGAATAAAAGAAAATTGGAAACACACAGCACAAAGAACGGACACACCGCACAAAGATCAGACACACAGCACACAGAACGGACACACAGCGCACAGAACGGACACACAGCGCACAGAACGGACACACAGCGCACAGAACGGACACACAGCGCACAGAACGGACACACAGCACACAGAACGGACACACAGCACAGGCACACAGAACGGACATGCAGCACACAGAACGGACACACAGGGTATACACAGGCTCACCTCTCCATGGACCCGTTCAGGGCGCCGCTCTTGTTTAGATTGCTGTTGTTGGACCCAAACTCGCGATCTCTTAGCTGCCTGCACATAACCAACATCCCAGTATTGAAATTGAAGCAATCAATAGGAAGTATTTAAGACTGTAAATAGTTAGTGAGGCAACGGGAAAACCAGACGGTGAGAGTGTGGAATAATAGTTAAAAATACTGAATAGAATAGTTACTAAAAGTGGAATGAAAATCATAAAAACAATGATAAAATTCACTGAAAAGAAGAATGAAATAAAGGGATAAAAACCATAGGAAATAAATTAAAGAGGAAAGGTAAGGAGAAAATCGAGGAGTTCATGTTCAGAACAATTGGGTGAGTAAGTAAGACCAGACCTTGCTGTGATATCAAGTAACTTAAAATAGAAAAAATAAGGTTAAAAACTGTGGAGAAAAGATGAAGAAAAATGAGCTGCATATGTGAGAACTGATCTTGCTGTAATATCGAGTAACTTCAAATGGAAAGGTCAGGAAAAACTGCGGAAAAATTATTAGGAATAATATTTAATTAGCGTATGTGTTACCTGATCTCGCTGTAATATCGAGCCTCGTCCGCCTTGGCCTTGTTTTCAAACACGCGGCGCGTCTCCGCGTCCAGAGCCTTCCAGCGCGCAGCGATCTCTCGACCGATGACCGTAAAGTCAGCACCCGCGAACTCCCGTAACACTGATCATATCAATAAAACTTCATGAAAAATTATAATAAGGCTATAGGTTATTGACATCAATTCAATTTACTGGAAGTCTGTATCAAGTTCACCAGTTACAGATAACTTCAATTCGATTTGATGAAAAACTATAGTAAATTTAACAGTTCCTGACAATATTAATTGGACGTGATGCAAATTAATGTCAAAATTAATTTTCTGATGAAAATTAATGTCATGTCTAACAGTTATGATTTTTTGCAAGAGTCGATTCCGATGGAAATAAAAATTAATCATCTGTTTTCTATTGGACTGATCGCAAAGCTTATACATTTACCGGTATAGGTTTATAAAGAGAGGCATGGTAACAGTGAATGAAATATTTCTAAGAAACTACACTCCACAATTTTCTATAACTGAAGAAATTCGCTCAAAAAAGGAGAAAGAATTATTATATTTAAAAAATATGCATATGATATTAAACGAAAAATCGTAACGCCAATTGGAAAGAATTTAAAAACAGAGAAACTCTGCTGGAGTTGATGAAGTGATCTTACACTCATAAAAATATTTAAAAACTTTGTCAAAATAACGATTCAATTTTATCCTGATGTATGGCCTCCTATGGCGTATCAGTGCTACGTCAGTTCTTCGCTCGAGCTGCGGGTAAGAAAGTGAGTCAATATTCGGACAATACGACCCATTCTTGTTTATGTGTGTACACTGACCGTCACCGCGGACGTGCTTAGCAAAAGAGGCGAAGGCGGACACAGGTTTGCTGACAAGGTGTCCTCCGTATGGCCACCTCTCCTTGGCCGTCGTGGCCGCCACAGCTTTGACAGCCTGTCTGTCCGCCCACGAGAGACGGAGGCCAGAAGGAGACTGGCCTGCACGATTGATTTGAAATAATTTACAGATATATACGTTCAAAGTACAGGATACTAAAATCAATAGTCATACAGACGCACCCTAATCGTTCAACTTGTTTGTAATTAACGTTGTCAGTTTTTATACACAAATACGATAGCACTGACTGAATGAAGAGTAGTCTCTAATAAATTTTAGCTGCATATTATGTAGACAAGATCTTTCTTTCTAAGCATGAACAATATTTAATATGTAAGAAAATAGACTCAGTTTAAACAACAAACATTCGTCCTCTGTCAGAACAGAGAGAAAAATCTGTATGAAACTTCGAAGAAATGTAAAAATTAGCACTAAACAGAAAATATATGAGCGACTGATTTCTCAGTCGTCACAAGTTTGTTCATTTTGATCCGTGAAGGTGCTTAAGTCTAGTGGTTCTTCCATCTGTTATATTGACTGTACAATCAGAATCAGACGAAGATGAAATTATTTCTTCATTGAAAAATCACAGTAATATGTTTATGAGATCAAATAAGGTGACATCACATTCCAGGAATAAACGCTGCAACGCTCACCAAGTGTAGCTGGTGAAGTGGTTGCACTGCTCAGGGACGAAGAACGATTCAAAGAGTGCGTATTGTTCGCTTCCATGGCATTCTTCTGTGAGCTCTTATTTTGATCGTGAGTCAAAAGAGAGTCGGAAGCACTTGCGGAACTTTCTTCATCATCCATGTACAACTTAGTTTGATTCTGCCCAGATTTGGAGCTTTTTTCTTGTGTCTCGACATCATTATCATGAGGTCCAAACTGGCGTTGAGTATGCATCATATCAGAGTTCAATTTTCCTTCATCAATATTTAGCGAAGACTTCAATGGGTGCTGATCTTCACTTCTATTTATACCTTTTTCATGATTGTCATCAATCCGAGTTGATTCTAAAAGACACTGACCAAGATCACTAGCCGATTCTCTTGTGACATGATCTATATTCTGAACAGACTCAAACGGCTCTATTTGGCGATATGTCGTGTTTTCATCACAATTAATTTTCGCTTTTTTTGCCGGAGATTCCATGTTTCTTACAAGCTCGTCCTCGCGCCCTCTCCTTCGGGCTAGCGAAGAGCCCGATCCGGCAACTCGAATACTCTGCAGAAGTAGATACAAATAATTTTTGACACCAACTTGATAATGCAGATACTTGATAATTATTGACACTAACTACCGGTCAAAGATATAATTATGAGAATGACAAAAAAGTGACCATTAAATCAATGACGATTATAATACTTTCTTTAACGTTACTTACCTCGATGTTGATGCCATCATCACCAGTCACGTGGCCCTTACTCCACGCCACAGGGTCGATGTCACCACTCACACCACGCAATAAAGAGGGCTCGGCTTCACCATCATCTGCATACCAATAATTTATGCAGCTTGAGCTAAGCAATAGCAAGGTGTGTTCCAATAGACTACGTACTTTGGAAGATTATTTATGATCTAAATTTTTTGGTAGATTCTAACAAAGAATTAAGTGTATCTGTACAGCTCCCTCAGTACAATGCGAGAATTATAATACATGATTACCTTAAAATGCTTCATTATTTCTTTTTATAAACTCGATTAAGATAATTTAAGATATAGCATCAAGTTGTTCTGAAACCTAAACTTGCATTGCTATAATCTCAGCGTTGGATATTTTGCAGTTTTACATGCATATACATCAACAAAAATGGCTAAGCATTTTTAAATCTTCATTTAAGACAGTTATTTCAAAATTATCAAGAAAAATACTCTAAATATACGAATAAAAACACAGTTGAATGGAAATTTAAACCATACATGGTAAAAAAGCTAAATAAATTTTTAGCTAATAAAAAATCAACTTTTAACCTAGCACAAAATTTACCATTAATGGTTTTCCGCTGCTCAACGATGCTAGTACAGTCCACTTGAGACAGAATTTCGTGAAGAGTGTTTTGCTCGTCGGCTGTGAGCAGAAAATTATCGGTCTTCAAAGAATTTTTGTCCTTTTCATTAATTAGTAGAGAGTTCTCAGGATAAGTAACTTTATTACTCTTTGTCCCGTCAATCTCAGTATTCTTTTCAACCATTGATGGTTCATCAGTTTCACCTATCATTATGCTTCTTCTAGTTGAATTTTTAAAGTATAATTTTTCTTTGGATTTATTCACATCAGTTCCAGAGAGGTCAGAGGGTGCAGTAATGATATTTTTATTATTAATTACTTTTTTACCAGCCATCAAATTTGTGAAATTGCTTGCATTGCTACGAACAACTGCGCTGGAGCTAAATTGACCGCAAGTTGAATCATCTGAGGCGGCGTCCGTATTTTCTTTGTCCATAGAATCATCGCTGCATAATGATTCTTCCCCTGAATGAATTTTTGAGCCGGACTTCCCTTGCTCATCAGAAGGATTTGCCTCTTCAATCATAGGACCGTATATTTCTACAAGGATCTCCGTCAGGAGCTCCAAAATAACTTCCTGTAGAGGGAGGGGTAGGGAACTGTAATCAATTATATAATAATTGATAGCCAATCAGTGATGGGGTTTCAACATTTTTTATGAAAATGTGGCCAGACACGCTAGTCACTTAGAGCTACCAAGGCGTTAAACAAGTAGTTTTTTTACAGCGAGCACAATTGTTATAAACAAGGCATTATTTTGAAATTTTCAAATGATCAACAGTGAGCACAATTGAAAAACAAATTACTTATCGTGACCATTTGGTTCAAGTGATGATGATTTTTCCTTGAAAAAAAAAAAAGTACGCATAAATTTCCAAGTATTTAACAGATCTATATTAGTACAGTGTAAGCTTCACTATTCCAAATAAATTGACTACTTATACAAAACCAAACTATTGAACGTTAGCATTCGTTGTTTAGAATTTGATTTTAATATATATTCTTTGCATAGTACCTGCCAGCAAGCAGAAATTATTTTTTTCCTAAATTTATAAAGCAGAAACGTAAAAGACTGCTGAGATAACCCCTTTTATTACCTGCTGATTACAATACCTACATCCATTTGAGTCACAATACATGGAATAAAATATAACCGAAATAAGGCGTAGGTACCGTATTCTAAATAAGCATGTAGATATATAGTAGTTATTATGTAAGTGAAGAAATTTTTTAGACAGTTATGTGCTTCAAGACCCCATTCACTGACCTCTCCATTTATGAGCACTCGGTCCTTGTTGGGTTCGAGGTTGACATCAATGAGATGCGGTGGCGCGGTGATGATCACGGCACCAACGGGCCACCGACCCGAATACTTCGGTTGAGATGCACCAAAAAAATCTTTCACTTTCTGAAATATGCAATAAATACAACATACAGAATCAATACAGAACTGAAAAATAGTTATAATACAACAATACCATATATTAAATAATGCACAGTTGAAAATTTTTTACAATTGCATTGCTGACAAACTTTATTTACGTCTTATCTCGAAGAAACTCATCTTAGCGAGGGGTTCCTACATCAGAGTGCCTACCTTTTGAACTTGTTTATGAGTCACTGGTCGACCGTTAATTATAACAAAAAGTCTGTCAGTGGATGGATGGCAATAGGGCGGCAAGGTCTGCAGATTTTTTTTACTGGATTTGTTTGCGGCAGAGGGACGATGCTCCTGTGAATTGTTTTTGTCCTGGGGTCTTGATTTGAGGGAGGAAGTGCGGGGCAAATGCACGGAGATTTTTATCTGGAAAATTTATTAAGCACAGACAAAAGAAAGTTACACTATATTCAGATCAAAAATCAAATCATGGTAGGAAATAAGCATTAAAATTCTGAGAATCCTTAAATCAATCTTAGGTATAAATACTTATGATAAAAACACATTGATTACAAATTTAAAATTTAAAGATGTGTGAGAGAAAAAGTAAGGAATATTTATTTTGTAGCCAAAAGTAGAGCATGGTAGATGAATGAATTGAATCTGGCCTCTAGGTAAGTTTGTGCTGGTGAAGAGCCTTTAATTCAAAATTCAACTAGAATTTCTCATTTTTTCTTGTTCAAAAAATTAATGAAAAGACTCCATGACAGATGAACACTTGCAATATTCAACATTAAAATACCTGATCTTTGTTCCTGCTGATGTTTGTGAAGCTGCTGGCACATTCTGGGAAGATGGCATGCATTGCGTTGAGGGTGTTAGTGGCTGCACATTTGCGTATAAATGGTTGTCTGTAATAAATATTATAATTATCATTCAACATCCAAAATTAAATTTCATTTATTTAAAATTGAGGCTGTTAAACATGACAGATATCTAGAAATTTTAGAAAGTATATTTATATATACTAGCTGCATTGCACTCAAAGCAGTGACAATGAAACATTATTAAATTTCAACACAAGTTCATAGGTACTTCTATGGATAATATTTCACTTTTCATGAGTAGCGGAGAGGTGCAATGCAGGGTGCGCAATAGCATAGGCCATGAGCAGACCCTCTATTTTCTTGAGCTGTTCCTTCTTGCGCCGCACGTCGCAGTGATACTTTAGACGTACAGGGAGGTCATGGAATAGCTTGGTTACTAACACTGTAGTTCCTGTCAATGAAAAACTAATAAAGACATGAAACTATAGTAATAATTAACTATGTATTTAATAATAATAATAAAAACGGGATACTATATCAAATTATACTGAGAATTATAGCTACTTGAAATAAACTTCCCCATCATGTGTACATGCAACTCAACTTGTCACTAACATCATAAACTATAAATTTACTTCAGAACATCTATATAAATAGGAAAACTTAGAATGTCCACCAGAACCAAAACACCTTTATTAAGTATTTCTCTCCAAACATGTTACCTAAAAGTAAGTTTTCTAGTGGTTATTATATTCATAATTACAAATGACATACCAACATTACACGCAGCAATTTTCTTTGTGATGATCTTGCCATGAGATGAAAATGTGCAGCACTGACCAACAGATGCCTGCTGTTGTCTGGTGGTGATGCTTACAGAGGCTAGCTGGCATAGTGAAGACAAGGCTTCACCTCGAAATCCATAAGAAGATAGGTCTTCTGAAAATTTGATAAGAATCTTGAAAGGTCATAGGTATTACAAAGAAAAACTGCCTTTATACACGAATTAAACAGTTTTCAAAGCTTTCTTTTATGCACTTCCAAAAAACTGACTTAATGAAACAGAATGTGAAAAATTTTCATGGAATGCTAATTTTGCACACTAGGTATTCAAGTATCATGCATCAAACCAAATCATAAAATTGCAGTATATTTGTCCACACATTTGAGTGAAATTCTACATAGAAGATTGTCCAATAGAAGCTCATTCTGTTTACAGTACTATTAAGTTTTTGATTAAACAAATATAAATTGGATCCCAGGATTTTAAAAAATATTGTTATATTACAATTGCACTTGAATAAATTTGTAAAGCAAGTTACAAAAATTGAACAAAATGTTAATTAGTTTCAAATGTTGGGGAAAAATTTTTCGTAAGCAAAGATAGCACTAAACTGATAGCTAATGAATGACACTTGCCTAGATCACCAAAGCTGTGTATTTTAGAAGTCGTGTGAGGAAGGCAGACAAGCGACAAATCTGCTTCAGAGATACCCAATCCATTATCTTTTACTTCCAGTAGCCTCAAACCATGGTCTTCCTGGAGGGATGAATTTAGATGAATTTGAGTTAGGATTATAAGATGAAGGAAATGAAGGTTCAATGAATTATACAAGAGAAATATTTTCAGCATTCAAATGACTTGGGACAGAATGTAGCTAAAAATATTTTATGCAATGTTTTGCACTCTATAATTTTCTTTATGAAAATAATATGACTGATGCAATTCATGCAATATCTCAAAAAATGATTAAATTAACTTTGCTTCAAAACAATAAATTATAAATAATAGAAAAACATCAATTGGGAATAAGTTTCAAAGAGAGTGTTTGGACAGGATCCATATAACAATGCAAAAATCTAAAATCATTATTACCAATAATTCTCATTACCACAGTCATTAAGATCACTTGCTTACAACTTACCAAACGAATACTAAGAATTGTGGCCTTACTATCCAGAGCATTCTCTACCAGCTCCTTTAGAGCAGCAGTGGCAGATGTGATCACTTGAGAGCTTTTAATCCTGAAAATTGTATCTTGGGAAAGTTGAATAACCCCCATAACTTAATCTGGCATCTGTTGACAAATATTGTTAATTTATGTTGCAGAATATTAACCGACATTATGAATAGTACTTGATTGCAATTAAAAAAATTCATAAACTATCAATAATCAAAAATATATCTAGGTATATACATGGCTAGCCTAAACATAACTGTAGACAATATAATAAATGTATATAGCTTAGTCATTTGTGCCAAAACAAGTAAATTCTTCATAAATAAAAGCAACTTGAGTCAAAAAGCTAGAAATTCTGAAATAACCATTAAGGGTTACAGCACTATATATATATGTGTTTGATGTCTAGCAACCTGGCAACACAATTACATATACAAATACAAGGGGCTGTCCATCAATGTAAGAAAATGTTTGGCAACACATCAGCCTCAAAATCTGTCTTCATAAGATTTATGTCTCTTTATAGCAAGAAATATTGAAGGTTTAGATATTTCAAGTTCAGACAGTAAAGTACCTATTGCAAAACAAAGGCAAAGGTCAAGGATGCCAACTTGCCGAGTTCATTGCCTCAAAGATGCAGAGGTAGGCTTCTGCCTTAAAAATTAAAAAGCCAATGCACAATGCTCCAGGGTGCAGAGTTTGCAAGCTGTGTTGCCTTAATAAGAAAATGCTGCAAGAACTTTGTTACTTTGATAGTATATCCCTTACTCTCCATGCCCTGCATCACTTACAAATTACACTCATCACAACTGTTTTCCAGAGAAGCTTCACTGCATCTATGATCCATCCAACATACTGGAAACCTTACTGTGTGTGCTTGAAGTCTTTTAGATTTTCACCCATTTTCTAAATAGTTGGCCTAAGACTGGCAACTATCTAAAATGCCACACTCAGGAATCAGGATTATGCAGGTTTTGAGAGAATTTTCCTGCGCATGAGGAGTTTTAAATTTTATCTTCACGCAGATGTCGATGCAAATTTTGATCATCCATTTCACGCCGCGCAGCGTTGGCTCAAACACAGTTTGTCAAGGAACAGTCAAACAGACCAAAAAACTCAAAATATTCAATATGCGTTTAATTCTCCTTTAATAATATATGATTTTCCTTGATATAAAATAAAAAGTAATTATATAGAAATTTATTTTATAAGAAATTATCTACAAATTTCTTATGGCAACCTCGTTTGTTTACCTTCCGTTTCTAGGAATCAAATATTCTGTTTTATTTTTTATTTTGCTCGTTCTATATGTACTATACTAAGCCCACAATGATAGGGTTATTAGAGTAGAGGTTCTAAGGTTAATGAACAAAGTCAGAAATAATTGCATCCTAATTAATGGAAAAATAGTTTTTGAGTGCAAAAATTTTTATAAATAAATATGTCTAGACAGCTGTCATCAGAAATTCCCAACAAAATGGTATAGCAACATTGTCTTTACAGCTTTTACATAATGCTGATACAGTGTCATGTGTCATCACTGTCATGTGTCATCACTGTCATGTGATGTGTCCCACTGTCCCTTGAAGCTATTCATATTTTATTAATGTATGTTATTTGTCTATATAATCAACCTTCAAAGTTACAAAAAATAAGAACTGATCACTAAACAAAATTCCAGTACATGTATTTTTTTATTCAATGGGTTTGCGCAACGCAAACCCATTCCACCGGCCTGGGCCTGGGAGGATGTTGGCTGCCAATAATGGTCGGGATTGGGAACATACCGGTAACGGTACGCCTGGTAACATATTCCCAACATTGACATACGGGTTTGTACTATTTGCCAAAATCAGCCCTTCATTAGAATTTAGAAGGTGCCAATCTCAAGCCATGTGGATTATGGATTGTTGCCTTCTATTTGTCAGTTTTGTAATTCATGTCAACGCTCCAACCAAATTGTGATCTATGATTATGAATTCATGATCAAAATATATGTCTCATTTTTGTCTCTGTCTCTCTGTCAGTCTGTCTCACTCATTGGTGGCTCTGGCTTCTTTATAATTTTTTACTTTGCTTCCTGAGTAGTGAGTTCCTGGCATTGCTGGCAATAAAAGATTGTTAAGCGCATCCCGATCCCGATAGCAGACTAGCAGACAAAGCAGTTACTGTCAGTCTGATGAGTCTGTCAGCATGCTACTGAGGCCGTGAGGTGAACCGGGATTCGGGAATATAATATGATACGCAAACCGCAAACTGTGCAAACATAGTTCATAAACTTCATAGAATACATAATATTATACATTGATGCATTTTATGGAAGGCCCAAAGAACCTGCCTAGTGCCTACTTGTCATCAACACTCGACAGTGAAGTTGAGTGAACAGTCGACTGAGTCGAGAGAGCGCAGCTGTGCACCACCAATTTTGTGCACCAATAAGCCCTGAATCGAACGCCTTGGAGGCTTGGATCTCTCCGTCTCCGGAGTCCGGACCTACACCAATGACCAATCGGCTGTGCATTACTTGGCTTAGACCTTTTCTGGCCTTGACCACCACCTGCCATGCACCACCAGGCCGCGGAGCGAATATGACTTCCAGGCATCGTTAAAGTAGGTACGTAATTTTACGTTCACCGCATCTGAGGTTAGGAATTTATGTTTCAGATAGCATACGCATAGGATAGGAGTTCTGTTCCAAAATTTATCGTCCTTCGAGGGCTGGTTCAACCCACGGCCTAGATACGGACGGCTTGGAATGTTGAAGGCTACGTTCTGGAAGGCAGGAATTATGATGGTCCATTACATCCAGGGCAGTAGTGGTCGGCAGCCTGCAGGCGACCAAACAGTCGACACCCTTTCCATGCTAGTTATTTCTTTATTTTCTCGTATAGTTCATGCTGAGCGGACTTCAAGCTTTAAGCCAACTTTGAGTGCCATGCCAGCGTAAACGGCTGCATTGCTTCTGGCTCAGACTTGCTGTGGCAGTGTGGCTTGCGCTCGGCTGTGTCGGCTCTAGCTTCGGCATCCCGGACCCGGGTGACAAGTTAAATTGATTGTCCGTAACTACAAATTCAGTATCCGGAGATGCGGAAATTTGGAGTCCGGGTCACAAATTGAGACAACCTTATTATGATAAGATTTTCCATATGAAGGCTCAGAAACTACCATGCAGAATAAATCAAGGTAAATAATATCTAGAAATAATTAATCGAATGATTTGACTAACGGTCACATGCTTTGACAAATTTGCGCCCTAACTAAAAAGTTTTTTATTCAGCGTAAGAAGTCACTTACCTTGCTGGAGAAATTTTTACACGGAATAATTGATGTTAAAGGAATATAATTATAATTAAAATCGATACTTGTTACAAATAAAAGTCACAGTGAGTAATTTCTGACCACATAAAGTTTGGATTTTGTTCGTCGCTAAGCAGAGGTGGGCAAGAACGCGCTACATGTAACGGCCGCTACAAGGTTTGGCCGCAACAGCGCTACCGCCACATTTATAGATAAAGCCTTTAGATTTTACTTAATAGTACTAAATATTATTTAAAAATCAGCATGATACATACATAAGTTACAGAATGTACCTGTACGAAAGATTTCGGTGTAATGTTGTCATCCTCTGCCTGTTACCAGTGTCAACATGTTAGTTATTACCAGAGGTAATAACTAACATGTTGCGCACTACATGTAGTTATTACCTCTATACTAACAGTAGCGCGCTACATGTAGCGGCCGCTACATTTCCAGTAACGGTATCGGCGCTATATTCAGAGCATGTAGCAGTAGCGCCCGCTACATTCAGAGCATGTAGCGGTCGCTACATTACAAAGAGCGCTGCTCAGCTCTGGCGCTAAGCAAGCACCAGTCCAACTAGTCGTTGTTTACTCTCTTTGCAGTACAGTGGCGGAAATGGCTATACTTCCACCTGTTTTTTTTCTTGCATAGAAAAATAATAGATTCTAATTTTTCGAGGCTAAACTACATTTAAAAATTGTTCCAACGCTATACGAAAATTTTTTTTGCAGTGGTCATTACTGCACTACTAATTAAAAAAAGATCAGTCACTACTTCACTTCGTAAATTAAAAGTATAAAACACAGAGGAGAGAAGTGATTGAACGGTCATGTCCTTATTCGAGATCAATGGAGCGGTAGTAGCCGATGAGGCTTGATGAGCTTCTGTGAAATAAGCTGCAGATAGATTCCATAGAACCTCATCATTATTAATTTTAGCGCGTCGAGGAAAATTCTTAGCCATATCAGAACAAAAAGAAAAGGTTAATAAATCACTCTGATAAAATGTAATGCTATAGAAGCGAAGTTATTCTTTTGTAGATTGGAGACCTAACGCGATGCTAAGGTGGTTCTGCGAACTTTCATCAACAAAGTCTGGTTTGAACTTCCCGTACAGCTTTCACACTCCTACATATTTGCCAAAGAGCATAGTAGCCAAAGTATGTAAGTTTGAACCTGGCTAAACATATTTGGTAAATAAAAAAATGCAAAGTCTTCTGGTCAGGTCAAGGCTCAAAGTGAATATTCAAAACACCTTTTCCAAATAGAACTTTACAACGACTTTTAAACATCTTACGTGATGACCTACAAAGAAACTCACGATTATATAGCATGTGAATAACTTTTTCCTTACGTTTGTTATTCATACTCCTTTATAACCAACAAGACCAATAAAATAAATTCTAAAGCTCGACTAACTGCTTTATCGGTGAATGATATATTGAAAATGTTACCATCTTTATCTTGATTAGAGGAAAAAATCTTCTGCTAGTATAATTGAACTGAAATCTAAATAATAACATCGCCCATATACATCCAACAAAGAAATTTCAAACTACTTAAACACGCTTATTAAGTTAGAACAAATAAGAAGCTCAAAAGGTAAAAATTTATAGCAACAGAACTTAAAAGTCGTAAATTATTTTGATCGTAAAACAAAAAAATGACGTTGGTTGCAACAAGTAACCCGAATAAATTGGTAGGTTACAATATTCGAAGGCTGTTAAGTAAATAAAATTACATAAAAAATGTTTCTCCTTTCAGTATCTATAGAAACCGCGAAGCTGTGATCAAAACTTTCGTGAGTTCCCAATAACCTATACTGAAATTGAAACGCAATATATTTCCTAGGCTTCTCGCTAGCTGAACAAAACAAGTAGTAGTAGTAGTAGTAGATGAACAAAACAAATCAGGAGTTGTAAGAAATTACAACAAACATTCAGAAGCCATAAGTAGAATGACGAACAACAGTGCTTATCATTTGTAAAGAACTTCATCATCTTTACAAAACAACACCAGAGTCATTAAGTGCAAAAACCATCATTCAGCTATTACGAGATCCGAGAGAAGCAATCGGGATTACTGTCCGGTACAAGAATGATCCAACCAACCAAAATTTACGCACCGCTTCGATCCGAGCACTGATCATTTATCCAACACTCAGAAATATTTGCTAGGCAATGAGCAACATTGAACATGAATCAAGTAGTTCATTACGATGGTTCTGTGATCAAAAATTTTTGAATGCCACGTGGAGCTAAGAAGACTCCGCGATCAAAAATTTCTGAGAGTCGCCTGATGTTCGATGATTGTGAGCAGGCGGCAGATGGCGTCACTGGAGAGCTGGCACTGCAGTAGCTGTGCCACGAGGGTGCCACACATGTCAGCCTCGTCGCTCCTCGTCAGCTCGTGCCACTGCGTCAGATCAGCGCAACCCCGCAGTAACTGTTCTTCGATCTGCAGCATTTATGACCAATCTTAACACATTTAGTACAATCATTTATAACAAACTTTTAATTCAGGTGTAAACATATAGTTGAATGAATTATTTAAAGACGAATTACTTCTTAACGGATACTCTCGGCAATAACCAGGAATCAGATATCAGATCGAATAAAAATGATAAGCAGATGCTGATGTATATTAAAATAAGTATTACATAATTGCCTAACGCAAATATGAAATCCGACTCAATACTCGCAGTAAAAATAGATATATTGACATTAAAATGACTAGGTAGCATTTATTAAAAAATAATACAATCCCTGGTGACCTGACGAGCGCGCAGCACGAGCTCCCGCGGCAGTCCTGCCAGCCTGGCGACCTGCGCAGCCTCGCTCCTCACGCACCTGCCCACGCACGCCTCACCGCGACAACATTTAATCGTGAATTATTAGCGTCATCAGCAGACATTGCAAAATCAATCGCATGCATAAAGCGATAAAAGATATGTCGTTAATGATTAGTGTAATCGTTAATCAGCCATCACTACCTTAAACAAGCATTGCGGTAGTAGAAACGTTTTGTCCCAATCATGGTTACCTGGAATTCGGGTCTAAAGAGGGGCCCGCAACATAATTTTTGTTGACGAAAGCATCCGTTACAAGTATGCGGACTCTATTAATGAACGTTGTGGCAGTAACTATATCTGGCAAGAAATATTTAAATAAGGTTCAAACTGAGTATACAACTCACCAGGCCTTCGGTTACTTTTTAACGCAGAATTAAATCTCCATAAAAACCTTATTGACAAGTAAATAAGGCAAGTGCAATGCAACAATCCAAGATCTTACTTGATGAAGAGGAACGAGTTCTCCTTCAGGCGACAGCACGGTTTTCAGGACCTGAAAATGAACGACAATGCGTCGACCATCAATGTCATAAACAAGGTCTTTATGAGGGACGAAGGTCGGTCTATGTACTAGCAATAAAAAATGATATTTGCTATAAAAATTTGTTGTAGCAATCATCACTTAAATCATATAATTTTTATTTCACTGAGTGGGTGTTACAACAATAGAAAAAAAAACGACAATTGGGCGTAAAAAATCAACAATAGAAGTGCAATTATAATAACAACACTCGAGCGAAGCGATTCCCGTTCTGGTAATATAAAGAATCTAGATTCTTGATGGAGGTAAACAATAATGCAGAAGCAACACTCACAACAGGACACACGTGCTCCTGGTGCTGCATGTAGTCGTACAGGTTAAGCAGGTGCGTGGATACGAACACGTGAGGGAAGTCCGCGTATTTGGGGGTTGTGTCACGACCTCCTTGTTCCCCAGCTCCTGGTGCGTGGACGGGTCGGTGGGCGCTACTAGAAGTCGTAGGGGAACAATTTGACAAAGACTCGTCCCTAAGGCGATGAGGTTCGTCAGTGTCCGAGGAATTAGTAGCATCGTCTTGCGTGCCCTCTGTCATCCTGGGGTAATTACCAGATGAATTTTGGTGCACGGCGTCGTGATGCAGCGCGGCGCTCATGGGGCCATCTTGGCCCTGGTACTGCACTGCGCCTTCTTCGTCGACCACAAGCTCGCATTCAACGGGCGGCATAGCAACGTCGCTGTCTGAACTTGCAGCCCAGGGAGCAGAAACCAAGGAAATTTTCTTGCTGTTGTTCTTGTTTAGCAATTTATTCTTCTCGACGACGGTTTCATCAGCGTTCATTTGACCTCCAATTTCTGGCTCATCCGAAATAGCGTGCTCAGAATTTATTAATTTCCTTTGATTTACAGTAGTAAACGAAGTATCAATCATGGCAGAAGTTTCCGGCGTAGCCTGATGGACATCTTGTTGCACGTCTCTACCAGACATACTCGGTGAGGCAGCATCTCCAGTAAAGGAAAACTCATGGGAATGAAGTGAATCGTCATGAGGTGGAGCTTCGTCATGACCCAGCTGACGTGGCATCAACTCCTGGAGCGCAGCGAGCAGGATGGCTATCCCGTCGCTCTCGTAGGTCGTCGAGCCAAACTCGTCGATCAGCAAGAGGCTGTGCTTGCGACCCTCTCGTAGAGCACGGGACAACTGTCGATTATTTCATATATTTTAGAACTTGATTGAACGAAGACACTGGCAATTATCATTAGAAAAAAAGATGCGCTCGCGGCCCTTTCGTAGAGCACGGGAACTCCGTTGATTATCTCACAAGTACATTTTAGAAAATAGTTGAGCGCAAACATTAGCCATTATCATCACCAAGAACATAGAGGCTGTGCTTGCAATCCCCTTGTAAAGTACGGGACAATTGTCGATCGCTACGGAGTACAACATTTATTATTTAAACAAATGCTCGTTATCAACCTCTATTTGATTAATAGTTCAAATTTCTGTCAATGTTATGTAAACACTAATGCTGAAACTAAGCTCCCAGCAAGACAAATTGATGTCTTTACTGTGAGCAAGAAAATTATGAGCCTGCTTTGGACGTCATGTTGCGGATGGACGGAGGGTAGGGGAGAGCAATACCTGTTTGAGGACGGAGGGTAGGAGAGGCAATACCTGGCTAAGGATGGAGGAATGGAGGACGGGGAGGGCAATACCTGATTTAGTTCGAGGAGGAAGGAGGAGAAGGCGGAGGTGACGGAAGGGAGGGAGGGGCGCACCACCTGCAGGGCATGGAAGGGCTTCATTACGACGCGCTCAGCGGGCACGAAGCTCCCCACCTGCGCCAGCAGCGCCACCACGCCCACCTGTACATATTAACAGTAAAGCCGGAAGCTGATGCTGGCGCTCGAGCAGTCGCAAATCAAATAAAGTCGGTTTTTGATGCACTGAGCTGAAGCCGGAAAAAGCTCATAGAGTCTGTGACGGTGTCTATGCATACAGACATCTGGTCCAGCAACGCTGCAGGGTCAGGCGGCGCAACCAAGCCGTAAATTTAGGTGTCGTGTGCGCAATACGTCGACAGTATATAACAGGAAGAAGCTCGGGCCGATGACTGATCTCCGTGGTACGCTGCAAGTGACCAACGACGGCGTGGAAGCAGAGTTCCCGCGTCGGACGCGAAATCTATTGCTGAGATAGGACTCGAACCATCGCAGCACTGTGCCGCACAGGCCGAATGATACGTCATGTCGACGCAATAAAGTGGCGTGGTTGACAGTGTCAAACCCGGCCGACAGGTCGAATAAAGCTTGTGCCGCAGTGTCGCCACGGTCTAGTGTCTACTACTCGCAGAAAATCTGAAAGCACCTTCAGTACAGGAGGTTTTCGTCGAGTGGAGATGACGGTATGCAGACCGGAGGCGAGGCATGTGACCGGACAGCTGAAGCTGTTCGGGCCACAACGCGTTCCAGGAGTTTCGACAACATCGACAGGTTTGAGATGGGTTGATATGATTAGGGATCAAAAGCGTCATTGTGTGGCTCTTATATAAAGGCGTAATGTAAGATGATTTGAAGACAACACCGTCAGTGAGGCAGCGGTTGAGAAGATAGACCAGAAAAAGTGCTAGGGTTACGACATTCCCCTTAAGTAACGACGTCGGCAGCGGATCGCTGGCACACTGCTTGTTAGGCAGCGCGAGCACTGCAGCGATAATTTCGTTGGTTGTGACGCAAGTGAAGTAAGTCTTGGAGCACGCAGTCGATCGCGCACGACGCAAATGTTGTCGACGGAGCATCGGCTGACGACGCTCGCACGGCAGACATTTTGTTTTCAAAAAACCACATGGAATTCCTTCACGCTAACCAACTGTATGACCTCTTACGATGAATTTATCCAGCGAACGCAACAGCGCTCGAGGGTCATTGGTTGCGCGGGGACTCTCTGGCGCCAAAATGACTCTCTTTTAAAAGGGCGACATAATTGTGCCGCGCATCTGGCCAGGAAGAGGTCACAGAAGCTGCAGCAGCATGATTGCAGAGTCTGTTCGCCCGGTAGACCGACAATCATCGTCGAACCATGGGTCGCAGACTCGTTGGGGTACCCGAATAGGGCGTGCAGGAATGAGGTCATCGAGTGCACAAGTCAGTTCGGCACTGTAGAGTTGTACGAGGTCGTTGACTGATAGTGCCAATTATGAGTCATGCCAACATAGTCGAGACGACTGTAGCTTTTCGCGTAAGACAGCACCGTCGAGACTGCGCCACGGACGACAGGTAACTATCTTGTACGCTGGCACCGGGCGCAGACACGGCTCCGACCACTGAACTAGTCGATGGTTGGATATTGCGATCTCGATGATGTCGACTGGCAGAATTTGAAGGCCAGCACGCGAGATGACAACGTCCAGCAGTCCGTCCATGTCGTGCGTCGGCAAGGTCACGTGACAAACCATGCCAAAGGTTGCCAGAAGGTCGTTCAGCTGACACGCCGATGAGTTTTCGACGCGATCCAGTCGAACGTTTAAATCGCCGGTTATAAGGACCTGATCGTGGAAGGTCAAAAGTCTGGTGAAGACATCGCTCAATTAAACGAAAAAGTCGGTCGCCACAGCAACCAATTCAGGACGATAGATGGTGACTGCAACGCTCGTAACCGAGGCGCAGGTGAACCTAGCACATGGCAGCTCAAAAGTTGTGGGTCGGACGCCGATGTCAAGAATGGTATGATGCACACCCTCGCTGGCGACGGTAGCTACTCCACCGTAATTCGTCGCCAGGGTGTCGGGTTACATGCGGGGCTGCGTGCGTTCGACTACCTGGAGTCCTTCAACGCGAAGACGAGCGATGCGAACAGAGTCAGCTTCGTGCCAAGTATTGGTCAGGAAGACGACATCTAGCGAATGCGAGCGACATACGTGACGAAACTCGTCAACACTGTTATTCAGTCAAGTGCAGGATGTTAAGGCAGCAGAACGATAATTGGCCACCCGGCTGCACACTGTGGCGATCAACACGAACGCTAAACAGGTTTTTTTGAGGCCTACAGGTTGACACAGGCCGAGGCTCATGCTGAGCATTCGCATGGGGGACGACACGAAGAGTAAATCTACTCTCTTACACACGGATGGATCAAGGGCTGCAGCAGCTGACCACAGGCTGAGCAGTCGCTTAGCCGAGTAAGCTAACGGCGCCATGAATATCAGCCAGATTCAGCTTGGGTCAATTAACAGTAACGTACGTCTACAGTCAGCTCAAAGCTGAATATGGCAAACGTCAAAAGGAATGCTCTCAACATAGTCCGCAAAGTCAGAAAAAACACTCACGTCGACGTAGTTGGCGTCAAGCACGCTAGTACGTGAGTAGCAAGAAAAATCAGGACGAATAATAAGCCTGGCGACACGCCCGCTACAGCCACCTTCAGATCAAACCAAGATGACCGATAAAGCCAAGATGGCCAAACAAGCCAAGATGGCCGGACAGGCCATGATGGTCGAACAAACCAGGATGACCGAATTTGCCCAGATGCACAGATTTAAAGATTAAAAAAATTACAGATTTATAGGCACAGAATTCAACGTCAGAAGAACGTCAAAGTATAGCCCTGTCCTCTATTTCAGAAGAACACTCTCATAAAGATTCGCGACGTAGTTTTAATCACGAGGGCCGATGAAGCTAAGATGGATGAACTCACAAAGATGGTCAATCGGAACAGTAACGGTCGCCACTGTCAGATTTAATTAATGGCACGGCATTCAACGTCGGTAGATCCTCAAAGAGTCCAGAGAACTTACTTATAAAGATTTTCGACGTAGTTATCATACACGAGGATATCATAGTTTCACACTGGTGTAAGTTGTAAACGGAGCACAGCAGTACACGTCCGCTTGCAGCCACAGCCGGCACAAGAGCACAAACACGAGGGCCAATGCAGCACACTAGTTACACCCTTTCGGGCACCAAAGTTTCGCTCACACCTTGTTGCGGATATCCAACACGCAACTCACTGCTTCAATTTAGCTGTGCTTAACCGCCAAGCCACCTCACCGATTAGGCCAAAATTGTCGCAGGTAGCTGGAATCAAACCCATAACCCACTGCTCTAATCTTGGTACTCTGAACTGTAAACACTGAGCCACCCTACTCTTAGCCTTCACATATTGCCTACCACGAGGAAGAAATGATACCTACACAACAACATCATTGAACACTTCACAGTTTACACGCGGTAGATGTTATGATCGAAGGTGTAGCCCATGGACGAAACTCACAGTTTTGAGATAGACGGTTTTTCCACTGCCATTCGGGCCGGTCACCACGCAGATGTTGCGCACTTCGTCGTCACCTGTGGTCATAAATAAATTGATGAGGAGGCAAGACAATTAATTAGGGGGGCAAGACAATTAATAAGGAGGCAAGACAATTAATAAGGGGGGCAAGACAATTAAGGAGGCAAGACATTTAATTAGGGGTCAAGACAATTAATTAGGAGGCAATAACGGAATTCAGATCCAAAGCAAGGCAATCCTCATACAAGGCAGTAGGATAGCAACGATTTTGCCATTCAAGCAAATCCACGACACCTTTGACGTCACTAATTACACAAGATTTTAACATATTCTTGTTATTTTCTCATTTTCATTGCGGGAATATATGCGCGTTCAGAACTTATAATACCGTTATTATATATATAATATTAATCCATGCTCAACAACCATCAATGACACACAAGTCGTCACTCAGATGATACTGTAAAAAAAAACTCACTACTCATTGGTCAGATTATTTACAGAACCACATAATAATGGTCATAACTACGCTTTGCAGAGTTCGATTACAACATAATAACTACGCAGCTTCAGAGATCTTGCTAAAAATATTTGTACATTTTTGTTATTGTTTCTTTTGAAGGTCGACGACAGACGTGGCATTAACGTTAGGCTTCGTTAGCACAAATGAAATATTTTTGTCAGTGATGTCGTCATCACCGCTGTCGTGGTGAGGCAGGGGCACGCCGGATCGTGCGTCATTGGGCACGAATGCGTCGCGGCAGCCGAGCTCGTAGAGCGGGTGACGCGCCTGCGTCATGACGAACGTCGCTGCATCGTGCAGCTCAGGACGCACCCAGCGCTGCTCTTGCGCCACGCAGCTGAACGCCAGTAAACTGAAAACGCACATAAACTGAAATACCAAAAATTACTGCATTAAATTCAGTCAGATTCAGTAAACAAAATCTCAGAGTCAAGTGCAGTCGTTGTGTGTCGTGATATCTCGCGGATGAGGCAGTTAAACATATACTGACTAATGAAGACACTAGGTAAATGTGAGTACCTTTCGGCTTATGTCAATGACTCATTTATCGCGATTCATTTGCATTAAATGAGTACTAGATGAACCAATTAAAACAAAAATTAATAGATGATAAAAAAACACCAACGCAAACAGCAAAATAAATAATTAATTATTTTCACTTCAGTCCATACCACATGTACTCTATCCACAGCTTCCATGTTGCATTTCCTCCCTACGTAAACTTCAAATAGCTCTTGCTATGCAAAGGAATTGCCTCTGGATCCCGCGAGTTAGGCTTCCAGTGCAACACCCTTTTACTCCCTCTGCAGTACCCAAATTTCGTTCCCTCTGCAGTACCCAATTTCGTTCCCTCTGCAGTACCCATATTTCGTTCCCTCTGCAGTACCCATATTTCGTTCCCTCTACAGCACCCATAATTCGTTCCCTCTGCAGTACCCATACGTCGTTCCCTCTGCAGTATCCATATTTCGTTCCCTCTACAGCACCCATAATTCGTTCCCTCTGCAGTACCCATACGTCGTTCCCTCTGCAGCACCCAAATTTCTTTCCCTCGGTAGTACCCAAATTTCGTTCCCTCGGCAGTACCAAAATTTCGTAACGTCTAAAGCACCAAAGTTTCTCTCTCCCGGAGCCCCCCAAGCTTCTACTCCCTTGCAGCCTCCAAATTTAGTCTCCTATCGAGCATTCGCGTTGCGCTCACACGTCGAGCATGAGGACGAGGTCGAGGAGCGTGACGAGGGCGGCGGTGTGCGAGAGCAACGTCTGCACGAGACGAAGCATCAGGCGACTTTCGTGGTTGGCGATCTCGATCTGCAGGTCGCCCAGCTCCTGGTCCAACTCTGCCACAAACACAGCTGCATTACATTTTTTATGTATTATTTATATATAATATTATCAGCTGCAGGTCCCCCAGCTCTTGGTCCAGTTCTATCGTGAGCAACCGTTGTTAAATTATCTATGTATTACCATCAGCTCCTGGTCAAGCACTGCACCAACACACTTGTGTTGAATTATCTACACATCACCAGCTCCTGGTCCAGTTCTGATGCTTCGACCTTGATGTTCTAAACTTTGAACACTCGGCCTTCTATGTATTTGTGATCAAACGGTGCTTGAAATTTGTAACAATATCAGACTGGATGCGTTGAACACGTCGAGACTATGTGCATGGCATTAATAATAAAGTCAACAGGCCGGAGTTGAGCTAACGTGCAGTGAGGTCGCTCTTGAAGAGCTTAAAGTCGGAGACGCTGAACATGTACTTGAGGTGCGGCAGGTCCTCGGGCAACGTCGTTGGCTCAGGCAATGCCAGCAGGTAACCCACGTGACCCACGTAAAATATGCAGCACGACTCCACCTGCACAGCCAGCATAACCATCGTGTATTATAAGCTACGTAAGGATTACACGTTGTTATCAAATGATTACACGTTATCAAAGAATTACACGTGATCAAGGGATTACACGTGATCAAAGGATTACACGTTATCAAAGAATTACACGTGGTCAAAGGATTACACGTGATCAAAGGATTACACGATATCAAAGAATTACACGTGGTCAAAGGATTACACGTGATCAAAGGATTACACGTGATCAAGGGATTACACGTGGTCAAAGGATTACACGTGATCAAAGGATTACACGATATCAAAGGGTTCCACGTGACCAAAGGATTACACGTTATCAAAGAATTACACGATATCAAAGGATTGCACGTTATTATAAAAGGATTACACGTTGTTATAAAAGGATTACACGTTATCAAAGGATTACACATTATCAAAGGATTACACGTTATCAAAGGATTACACGTTATCAAAGGATTACACATGATCAAGGGATTACACTTTATCAAAGGATTATAAGTTATCAAAGGATTACCCGTTATTAAAGGATTACACGTTATTAAAGGATTACACATGATCAAAGGATTGCACGTTATCAAAGGATTACCTGTTATTAAAGGATTACACGTTATCAAAGGATTACACGATATTAAAGGATTACGTACACGTTATTAAAGGATTACACGCTATCAAAGGATTACCCGTTATTAAAGGATCACACGTTATTAAAGGATCACACGTTATCAAAGGATTACACATTAAATAAGGATTACATCAATTCTTGATATTCATATTTAGTCTTAACCTTCAGCATGAATGCAACTTCATTTTCGACGTGATCAGCCCGCAGGTCAACGTGTAATCATTGATAATAAAATACTTAAAAATACTTTTTTAAAAAACACGTTTTTCTTGCGGACTACAAAGTAGAAAATAAATTATGGTTCGCCCCAAAAAAACGTGGGTCGGGCTGTACGTTCAACATCAAATTTCCAAAATTCGTGTGTTGTGTGCTTTTCGCTTTAATCATAAATCTGCCCATTTTCTCCTTTTTAGTCCGTTGCTGCACGGACTAAAAAGCATGACTTGACGTACGTATCGATGATACGCAGCGTCAGCGCCTGCTCGTCTATAACGTCAGCGCCCGCATGTCATATATATACTATATATATATACTTTATTCGATTAAGCTAATTTAGGTCTCTAATTGCAAGTTTTTATGATTGTATCTGAAATTGTTAGGCGAAAATAGCCTGCATGCCGAATTTCAGATCTCTAGAGCAATCAGAAGTGGGCTAATTTTCGTTGTCAATTTTAACAACAAACAAACAAACGCGAAGCTAAGCTAAGAAAAACGTTTAAAAAATATCTATCGTTTAACCCATTTACGGATAGAAGAAACATCCGTTATTTGATCCAATTTTATACGCATTATTTCCTCCCCAGACTTCCACGCAATAATGAAAACATACGAAACATGAACAACCAAAAATGACATGCAACTGTTGCCGGATTAGATACCACCGCTTGGGATAGACCTATAATAATAGCGGTTTCAGCGTTTATTAGGCCGTAGGCCTTTCGCCGATTCTGAACATCGCAGAACATTCACAGCATTTTGCGGGCTTGAACTCGCAACTCACTGCTACAATTTTGCTGTGCCTAACCGCTCGGCCTCCTCGCCGATTCTGACCAGAAATTGGCGCGCAGAGCTGGGATCGAACCCGCGCCTCTCTGCTCCAATCTTGGTACTCTGAACTTTAACCACTGGGCCACCCTGACCAACCACTGGGTCACCCTGACCTAGCCATATTTTTTTTTCTATCACCAATGAAAAAGTGAATATAATTATAAACAAATGTTGCTAAATTTTTGCTTCGATTTTACAAGAAATCTGCACTAGAACGACCAGCTTCTACAGAGGCAAAGGCTTGAAATTAACGATGAAATCAACCAGTTAGAAACGCTGTCGAAGAGAGCAGCCGTAATCATCAGTACGTCTTCAGGAAGTACAATGAGTTTCCGTGATTGTTTAGACAAATTCCACTACAAGAGAATGCCAGCATAAGATAATGGCACCCTAAGTAAATGTCACAATAGTAATAGTGACCTGTGGAGGGAGGCGCTCCAGCTCGAGACGCGCCACGGGCTGCATGATGGAGCCCACGCCATTGAAGTGCTGCTTCTCTGTAACGCCAATCATTTAATAGTTCATTCTTCATCATAATCAGTTATGTAATTCATTTTTCACATTGTATCTACTTAATTCGTACGAAGAATTAAAATATTGAATTCAGCGTACTTGCAAATATTAAAATTCCAGCGTACTTGCAGTGAGTAATGTTTTCAGTTAGGCTGAATAAAAAAATTTTAGGCTGAATAAAATTAGGCTGAATAAACCTCTATGAATCAGAGTTTATAAGTTCATAGCCATTAAGTGGGCGCAGCAATTCAATTCGTTAATAATTGATCCAATATCGATTATGAACTTCGGTCAGTTTCCGAACACAGAATTGTTTACTTCAGCTTGAGGTAGCGATGCAGTCAGAAAATAAAGATCCAAATCTTGACTAGTGAACGAAGCTGCAAAACATTACACAAACACTGCCTGTGTTATAGGCCTGATATTTTGAATTTTTATTAATCTGACTGGCTGAGTTAGGACTTAAGAACTAATGAACTAATCTAAGTGCCTGTGTTACGGGCTTAATACCTTAATGATAGGTAACAAAAAAATGAGCTGCCGGCCTGTGTTGCGAGCTTAAAATTTAAATAATAACAAATAATTAAGCTGACTGGCATCCAGCTGCGTGTCGACGCCAGGCCTAACAACAAATCTGCCGTCGCGCTCCGCAGCCTCGAAGTCCAGCACGCGCTGGATGAGGAACGCGGCGCGGTGAAGCTCCTCCGTGGCGCTCGCGCCGATCTGCTAGCGCACACACATTAGTATACAATAGTATAAGATAAAATAGTACACACATAGTATACAATAGTATAATATAGTAGAGTATTTTATAATATATTTCTTTCCGACACGTGTAATGCCTATGCGCTTGTATCCGACGGTGGACAGAAAAAAAAGTAAGCACCTGATGCAGCAGGTACACACAGTAAGCACCTGATGCAGCAGGTGCAGCACACATTAAGCACCTGATGCAGCAGGGGTACACAGTAAGAACCTGACGCAGCAGGGGTACACATTAAGCACCTGACGCAGCAGATGCACACATTAAGCACCTGATGCAGCAGGTGCACGTTGTCCCCCTCGTTGCGGCACAGTTCGCCTATAAGTGTGAGGCTGAAGAGCGTCCGGTACAGCGACCGCCAGTCTCGGGGCGACAGACACGCGCGTTGCAGCCGACACAGGATCAGCTGTAAAACCATGCTATGTCAGTATAGTACCACAGAAATTAAGCACCTTACTAAGTTTGTTATTAGTATGGTAATAATGAGCAGCTGTAAAATCATGCTATGTGTTAGTACAGTAACATAAAAATTAAGCACATTACTAGGTTTATTATCACTATGGTAATAATGAGCAGCTGTAAAATCATGCTATGTGTCAGTACATTAACATAAAAAATTAAGCACCTTACTAGGTTTATTATTACTATGGTAATAATGAGCTGCTGCAACAAATGTATTATGTCAATACAAATCAGCTGCAACATCGAATAAGCAGCAACAATGGATATGTCACTACAGTTATACAATATAACTATCAAATGTTGAATGGGAAATGTTAAACATCTGATAGTAACATCGAACAATTTCAATATAAGGTTAGACTAAGAATGATGGGTAAAATGACCAATTTCTCACTCTGAAGCTCATTTTTCAAGACTGGAATGTGCTTTGGTTTTCCCCCTAGTAAAGGATGAAGCCATTAATCCATCAGTAATGGATAGTGCGCCCATTTCTGATAGGAGAGTAAGATAGTAATCCTTGAGCTGATTGTTAAGGGTAATACCATATGAATCCAGATATAAAAGCAAAGAATTAGTTACAAAACGCAATATATAAGAAAAAACCTGCTCTGTGCACCTGGACATGGGCGATATTCTTGAGGCAGGCGAGGAGCTGGGCGACAGTAGCAGCGTTGCGCGGCTGCTGCGCCCACTGCACCAGGTCGTAGCGCCACTCCAGCGTCCTACGGCACACCAGTGGCCGCAGCAACACGCGTCTAGTGCAACAAATTTATCTAAATTTAAATATTTCTTCATTTAAATATAACTAAATTTATAAATTTATATTAATTTAGTGTTCAAATGAATTTTAGTTCCGATAATCTCATCCAATTAACATTATTACAATCGATTACATGGTTAAAACATGAATTTCATAAAAAGTTAAGTATAACTGACATGTGAAAAAAATTCGAAATAAGAACAATTTTTTCTATTAAAATGTAGAATTTTCATATAAAATACCGGCTGCTCGTTCAATATGAAAAAAACCCTGTTAATGAAAAACAGATGACCAATTGAAAATTCTGTTTGAAATTATGGTCGATTCCGTCACACAAATCATTGCGATGCCGAGGGCGCAGCCCAGTCATTTAAATCAGTATATTCATGCAGAGCAGCCGTAAATAAATGAAAGGTCTAACTTCGAATGGACATTATCAAAAGACGGCCATTCAAAGCATTCATCCAGAAAAAAATGTATTTAATTAAATGAAAGGTCTAACTTCGAAAGGACATTATCAAAGGACGGCCATTCAAAGCATTCATCCAGAAAAAATGCATAAAATTAAATGAAAGGTCTACCTAACTTCGAAAGGATATTATCAAAGGACGGCCATTCACATCATTCATCTAGAAGAAAATCTAAATAAATGGAAGGTTCACCTGAGAAGAGGCATTGCCAGCGGACTGGCAGTCCTGGCAAGCAGTGTCAGCAGGGAGAGGTCCTGAGCGCCAGCAGTGGCCCTACTGACGCGGTTGATGGGTTCGTCCTCCGCCAGTAACTGCAGCGCAGCAATACTTTCCGCGTCCATGTAGCACGTGTCCGGGCTGTTGGGACACGTGAATACGTAAGACACAACATGTTAGACATAACATGTTACACGCGAACACGTCACAATAGATACATGTCACCGTACGTAGGCTGCAGGCCCAGCACTCACAGCACGTAGGGCTGCAGGCCCAGCACTCACCGTACGTAGGCTGCAGGCCCAGCACTCACAGCACGTAGGGCTGCAGGCCCAGCACTCACAGCACGTAGGGCTGCAGGCCCAGCACAGGCGTGCCGTCCAGGATGGTGTCTGCAGGCAGCAGCTCAGCGCCTCGCCTGTCCAGCAGCCTGCAGCAGGGGTGAGTGGTGAGTAATGATGTGAGTGGTGAGTATAGAGGTGAGTGGTGAGTATAGAGGTGAGTGGTCAGTATATAGGTGAGTGGTGAGTAATGATGTGAGTGGTGAGTATGGAGGCTATTGGTGAGGTTATTTTCGTCGTTAAATGAAAAAAATCACACAGTGCATATAATATTCTAGCGCACACTTTAAATTGTTCAAATTTCCAATTTTAAATTAGTTCGACGTACACAATGAGAATAGATTAATGGTAATGTTGCAGGCCACGCACCTGAGGAGGCCACGCACCTTAGGAGGCCACCGAGGGCGCGGGTGGCGGCCACGGAGGCGTTCACGTCCAGCACCGCGCGGATGAGCGACGCCCGCATCGCTTCATCCGCCTCGCCATCTGCACACAGCCAGCGGTCACGATCCAGCCATTTAACCCACTTATAATTATAAACAAGTAATCTCATAACTGAAAATTTCACCACATCAATGATTTGCAATGTAACATTGCATGGGCATGTAAAGGACAATCAACCATCGAAAAATCAACCTCAAAACAATTTTAAAAATAGCGTCTTAGTAATTCATAAATTCGAAAATTTAATTTCAGTACACCGTAATCTCAACTTATTTACCATGCTACAAAATTCAATATGCGACAATAAGCTCACATAATTTTATTTTGTTAAACATGACTTTAATAAATTACCAAAACATTACCCCCTTCTTTCTAATACTTCCAAAGAACAGACAAATTTCCCAAAGAGTTGTTTGGCCCCAAATTTGGTAACCAGTGAACCACACCCGGAGATTAAAGGATTATAAACAGCAACCGAAGTACACTAAGGGTAATGATAATAAAGACCTGAGGCCACACTTTCAAAATTCGCTAAGTGAACGTAAGTACTTACGCTCTATTTTCTTGTCTTTGATTGGTGGATATTGCTTGAAAGGCCGTCAATGATTGGCTGATGAACTTACGATCTCTTAACTTTTTTTAAAGTTTGGGGCCAGGATATTAAAACAACGGCAATAATAGTCTGAGGCGCGACCTTACCTGCCGACTCTCGTCCGTCATCGTCGAGAGAGGCGAACTCGTCCGGCGACACAACGGCTCTCGCAACTGGCAACTTGAGGCTCAGCACGCGTTGCCGGCAATGGGCGTACACTGTCAACAGATTAACATATTGGTGAACAGGTTAATATAAGAAATAGATTGGGATCTATCCAGGGTCGGCCAAGATCACCATATCAATGAACAACAAGACCTTCGGACTTGGTAACGCATGTCCAGAATAATTTTTTTGGATGATCAAGATTGTCCTCTTAAAATATGACGGCAATCGTCTGATATCGGCAATTTTGACAATCATTGTCGCAATCTATACCCAACTCAGGTAGAGCCTTTAAGGCCAATGATGACCGTCCATAGAGCACCCATTTCCACAAGATGTCGTCTTCCTGGACCTGGCACGACGCTAACTCGGTTGGAATCGCGCGTCTTTGCGCTGAAGGCATCGCGGAGAGGCGGTTTGCCACGCGCTTCGAGGCGGCGATCCATCGTGTCCTGGGACTGCTACCTCCGAAACAATTACTAAGGATGCTGAAGGATTAAAAGTTGTCGAACGCGTGCGGCCCTGCATGCAACCCGACACCCTGACGACGAATTACGCCGCTAGCAAGAACCTGCACCTTACCATTCTTGACGTAGGCGTCCGACACACAACTTTAGAGCTGCTATGTGCTAGGGTTACCTGTGCCTCGTTTACGAGCATTGCGGACACCATCTATAGTCCTGGATCAATTGCTGTGGCGCGCGACTCGTCCATCGAATCGACAGCTAAACGAATTTCTGGCCACCTTTGGCCTGGTTCGTCACGTAAACTTAACGACGCACGACACAAGCGGATTGCTGGACGTTATCATCACGCGCGCTGACCTTCAAATTCTGCCAGTCGACATTAACGAGATCGCAATATCCGACCATCGACTACTTCAGTGGACGGTGCCATGTGTACGCACGGTGCCAGCGTACACAAATATTACCTGTCGTCTGAGGCGCAGACTCGACGGCGATGTTTCACGTGAAAAACTGCAGTCGTCCCGGCTATGTCGGCCTGACTCTTGGTTGGCACATCAGTCAACGACCTAGTGCAACTCTACGACTTTTCAACCGTTGCTTCACTGACGGTGTTGTTTCGATGAACTTCAAACCAGCCTACATTACGCCTCTTCTGAAACAACAGACCTAGACGCTTTTGATCCCAAATCATATCGAATATCGACCCATCTCTAACATGTCGATTTTGTCGAAACTCCTAGAACGCATTGTGGCGTGACGGCTGAACAACCATCTTCAGCAGTCCGGTCTCATGCCTCGCCTCCAGTCTGCATACCGTCATCTCCACTCGACGGAAACCGCTGTGCTGAAGGTACTTTCAGACATTCTGCGCGCAGTAGACCGCGGCGACGTTGCGGCTCTGGCTTCACTCGACCTGTCGGCCGTGTTTGACACGGTCGACCACGCCACTTTATTGCGTCGACTTGACGTATCATTCGACCTGCGCGGCACAGTGCTACGGTGGTTCGAGTCCTATCTCAGCAATAGATTTCAATGCGTTCGATGCGGGAACTCTTCTTCTACGTCATCGTTTGTCACTTTCGGCGTACCACAGGGATCAGTACTCAGCCAGATCCACTTCCTATTATATACTGTTGACGTATTGCATATAATTGATACACATAGTTTGAATTCGCACATGTTCGAAGACGACACCTAAATTTATGGCTAATGTGCTCCGCATGACGGTGAAGCGTTGCAGGACCGGATGTCTGTCTGCATGGACGCCATCTCAGACTGGATACGCTCTAACCGGCTTCAGTTGAATGCATCAAAAACTGACTTCATTTGGTTTGCGA